AAGTAAATTGCTGGTAAATTGCTGGAAATAGTTCAATGAACAGCCAAGAAATAAGGTAAGTATGAATTACCAAACAAGCAAACGTGGAAGATTTTCTACTTCTTAAACTGGAAAATTATAGTTAAAAGCTAGGGAAAATATTAATGCCCTGGCAATCATAATTTATTAGTTCGTCTTGGACAGGGAACTATACTAATGGAACACTTCCTGGTTTGTTTGCCAGTTCATGAAAAGAGTGAAGGCATTCTCATATTTAGTTTAGGTTATTAAACTGAAATACAATGATCCAAACAAAGCAATATCATCTAACCACTGTTTCAGGTCAATTAAGTTTTGAATCACAAAGAGTTGTCTTTATGTCTTGGCACAATACATTGGCTCCCATGCAATGAATTGAGCTATTAGCCAATATAAACATGCATTCTCCATAATTTACTAGATGGTGTTTCTTTTGAAGCATTGGGGGCCAAAGAAAACATTTACTTTGAGAATTAGGAGCAACTATTTTAGAGGTTTTCCAAAATATAAGCATATACAGCTGCTAGACTGTCCTAACATAGGTCCCTCCAGCTGTTATGGACCACAATTTCCAACAGAAACAAACAGGAGTTCCAGACACAAAATATCTGAAAGCACTCAGTTTCTCAAATAATTTTCCCTAAGGAATCATATATCACTCTTTAAAATAAGGAAACTTTTATTCTACAACACCTTTCAGAATGCTGCTATAATTTAAAATATTTCATTAGAAAGTTTCAAGACTGTCATACGTTAGATAATTCAACTGTATCTGAAAAATGGCAAGATCATTTTACAAAAGAACTTGAACTCAACCAGCCAACATACACAAAATAGTTCTGCACATACAGTATTTACTGTATTTTAAATTTTACAGTATTTAGCAAACAAGTATTTCTGTACAAACCACACCATAGTTCAGCTTACAAGACAGTAGTATTTCTGCAACTTATAGTAAGTAAACTTTGTAAAAATGATCCCACACATATTTTTTCTAAAGTTGTGTTGAACAGCTGGCAATGAAAGGGCTAGGGAAATTCACTCTGAAAATTATGTTGGATTATTTATCTATTTACAGGTAGTCCTCAACTTACAACAATTCATTTAGTGACCGTTCAAAGTTACAACAGCACCCAAAAAGTGACATCACCATTTTTCACACTTACAACTATTGCAGTATCCCACGGTCACATGATTAAAATTCAGGCGCTTGAAACTGGCTCATATTTAGGACGGCTGTAGTGCGCCAGGGTCAGGGGATCACCTTTTGCGCTCTTCTAACATGCAAAAAGAGTGGGGATCATAAAATGGGGCAAAACTCACTTAACAAATGTCTCACTTAGCAACAGAAATGTTGGGCTCAATTGTGATTATAATTCGAGGACTATCTGCGTTTGTTTTTGGCAGTGCCTGACTCCACACCAACTCTGTATTAACCTTACAAAACACATCAGCACAACTATGAAAGGAGACGAAATGTATTAGACAGACAGCTCCGTAGCTCAAACACGAGCGCTGTGTTTCACTGTTTAAGGACCTGAACTTTTAAGAAAATATTACCAAGAGGCTCTTTGTGGGCTTCTAAAACAATGTTAATCAAAATATATGGATTTCCAGACTGTTCCTTTATGTTACACTTTAAAAAACAACCATGCTCCTTTCACAACACCATGTGAAGATGCTCCAAGGAGTTACAATTGAGAAATTAAACTGACAGATAATAAATTAAGTGCCGGTGCTGCTTACGCACCAGCAAAAAGCATGCAAAAATATTCGAATGTTCTCCAAGGTGTATGGCACTACCTTCTTGAAACAGTTCGATAAAGAGGCAATTATTTTGGATTATGCGGATTTGGAACAGCATCTGTTTACACTAGGTTTGTTTTTAGCAGCTTGTCTGGTAGCCCACAAGCAAATAAGAATTCCATGACGGTGAGTGACAAGTCTGGTGGAGAAAAGATTCTTCCCTCATTCACTTGTTGCTTCCCTGATAGCCATAATGAAAAGAAACATCTCTATATACTCTAATCAGCAAAGAAATATAAACTAATTACTGCACTGGCCAGCAATCCCTAAAGTCTATAGAATGGAATCACATATGGCCTAAGAAATAGTTTTAAACATAATTTGCTGAATAAATCCCAATGGTAGGATCCAGGCAATACAGGACTACAGAGCAAGTCATATAAGCTATAATATACAAAATATAGTTCCCCTTGAAAGGGAAGGATTGTAGGTTTCCAGAAACTTCCCTTTAAACAAGACAGTAAATGTAACAAGAATCACTCTTGTATGTTCAATAGTTCAGATTTGGTGATAGAGGATTGCTCGGGCATTTTCCCCCAGACCGCATCCGATTGAGAAGAAGAGGAGAGGGATAAGTAAGTAGAAAGATGGAGGAGAGAGGGAGGGGAGGAGAGGAGGAGGAGGTAGAAGGAAGGGGGAAGTGAAGAGATGAGAGGGGGACAAGGTCTGGGGGGAAATGGGTGAGCAAGGTCGGAATTTGTGTGTTGTATTTTAACTTCTTACGTATCTGAATGTTTTTTCTTATGATTGTAATGAAAATAAAATAATAAAAATTTTAAAAAAAAAGAGTCACCCTAGCAAGGAGATAGGCAAATAAGACTTGAGAAAGACAGAACATAAATCTAACAAATAAACATCCTCCCCAAAAATGTAAACAGGGTTACACAGTAATATTTGTATACATATAAATCTATTAGACTTTACATTGGCAATGTTCATTCTTGGATTTCAAATCTATCAAGACTCAAAAAAAAATGTGTTAACTTTAAAACTGTCAACATAATTGACATCCTGTATACAGAAAAATCATTCAGAGATCAATGGTACTTTAAAAATCAAGGAGACCTTAGAATGACAACATCGTGCATGTTAAGCTATATAGCAGACGCAAGCCCCAGCTTGCTAAATTCTCTGCCATAAGCTACATCCTTGACTAGCAAAACTCTTAATGGTTACATTGCTGTCCAACAGGTTGCCCAATACTATCCTTACTCAATGTAAAGGTGAGCTGAGTTTAGGAGCCAACTATCTGTCATCCAACAAGCTTGGGCTTAGAAGAAAATGGAGTAGCTTTCCAACTTCCTTCTGAGGACACTTCGCTGTCAACTTAACTGTTACAGACTATTACACCACTTCCATTGGAGTTATATTTAAAGATCATCAAGCAAATACCACACTCAAACTTTCTTCTCTTGCGACTGTATCAGATTCCCAATTTTATCCTCTTCCTACTTCTGAAAGCAACGGTGCTTTAGGACTAGTGAAAGGGATTCAAGTGCATACTAGGACTGTGCAATGCTTTGGATCTGAAATACTCCAGCTGGATGCCATTGTTAATGTAGTGCCATCTCTGCACTCTTTAAATCAGCCGCATCCTTTCCTAGGATCACCCTCTGCAGTTGCTGTGTGATCTCAGGAAAAGTCATAACTGATTATGAGTTACAGGCAAGTGCTTTACTGATGCTCCAAAATACCTTTTAGGATTTGACTCTGAAGCAATGCATAGCCCTTTACTTATTACCCTAATGATAATCACTGAATAACACTAACAAGGAATCAATAAAGATTAAGGGAAGAACAACAGGGCAAAGTATGTTCATCACACCACTTAAAAACACTCTGCTGGTAACCAGGGACTAACCTAAAAGTATAAATGCAGTTTCAGAGTTGGAAGGGACCTTGGAGGTCTTCTAGTCCAATCCCCTATTCAAGCAGGAGACCCTATACCAGGGGTAGGCAACCTTGGCTCTTTTTTGACTCGTGGACTTCAACTCCCAGAATTCCTGAGCCAGCATGGGGGAAACTTTGGCCCCTTCATGACTCGTGGACTTCAACTCCCAGAATTCCTGAGCCAGCCTGGCTCAGCTTGGAAACCTCTCCCTTTCCCCTCAGCGTGGCTGGCTCAGGAATTCTGGGAGTTGAAGTCCACGAGTCATAAAAGAGCCCAGGTTGCCTACCCCTGCCCTATATCATTCCCAGACAAGGTAAGAGTTCAGATAAGAGTTCTGTTTCAGGAAAGATTGTAATAGCAAACACTGAATATATTTTATAACATTATGCAAGTTAGTAGCTCAGAGAAGAGAAAACTGAAAAGTTAGAGCCTATCTTGAACAATAATGTAGCAACAATTCAATAATATCAAATAACAGATATGATTGTTATATTCTTTTAAATATATACAAATGCTATTTGTAAGGACACCTTTGAGTCAAGCTTGATTTTTGATACAAACACAAACATCAGATGTTCTTGGCAATAACATCAACAAGATTTGCAATTACCATCTTGATTTCCCAATCTAGTCTATAGTCCTGGAGCTCCTGGTGGTCTCTAATCCAAGTACTATCAGGATGAACACTACTTAATTATAAAGCTCATTTAAAATCAGCCGGGGTTGCCACCCAAGGCCCCCAAATTTAGGATTATTAATTGATACCATTATGTTAAAAACTAAATTTTTATTTTGCCATATTAAATCCCTCCCTATTTTTGAGAGGATCTGGGAATCTGAATAACGTACATACTTAATAAGATAATGAAAAAATATTCCCACTGACAAATTTTACTCTCCCGTGAAACAACCAGCAGCAGTGACAATTATGCACTAGATAAATTCAGTACATGTGCCATCCTTCAAAAATGATTCTCTCAGGGTTTACAAAATTTTCCAGGCTGCTTATTGATTATGTATCACCTTAGAGAATTTACATATACATTCTCAAAAATCGTCTCAATAGCCTTGCAAGGTAGCACTGTAATCTTGACACTGCAGATGGCATAGCCTGATAAAGAGAGGTCTTAACATAAAGTCAGCTTCTGAGCCAAGAACTGAACTGGAAAATTCCAGCACACAGCTTAGTAGTTACATTTCTACAGTTCTACAACTCTATCATTCAAGGTAGACCTGGGTATCATTCATGACCACTAGCAAGGTTCAGCAAGCATGCAATTCTTACCTTATCTTTTTCGTGTGGAAGGAGTGAAACTGGAGGAAGACAAGAAAGAGATTCACAACTCTCTTTCCCATCTGCATTTGTGGCTGCTTTCGTGTTGAGCTGATACAAAGGTCCATCTTTAAGGAGCCGGCCATGGCCAACAGCCCGCTTAACGGCCAACCGCAACTGCTGGTGAAAGGTAGAAGGGGCACTGCTGGCAAACAAAGCTGACACGTCCTTCTGCCCTTTCAGGTAACGTTCAATGTTCTTCAAAGATGAACCAGAAGATTCTGCCAAGCCCTCAATTGCCCGCTTAATCAGTTTATTCCAGTCCACATTTGGTTTACCGTCCAACTTGCCATGGTTCCGTGGTTTAGGAAGTGCTATTCGCCCAGGGTTATCTGGATCCTTGTAGGAATTAAGTCCTTTATTAGAAACCTTTAAAATAGTCCCATCTTTAACACTCAGTTCCAACTGTTCCAGGACAGTTTTGCGATCCAAACCATGGGATGAAGACACAGCATTGCATATCCTCTCTTCTGATGGCCGCTGTTTTTGCTTCTTGACCTTTTTAATTGCCTCCAAAATCCACTCAGTGTACAGCGGGTTAGCGAGTTTTACCATGGTGAAAAATTATTTATATCCATAGAGTCGTTATCCCTTATCCCTATGCTGAAGCAGTTTCACACCATGGGAAAACAGATGATCGGAGAAAGAGGGCCAGTTAATCATAGCATATACGTTTTTGGCCCCAAATTGCTCTTGTTTCTTTCAAACAAGAGTATTTCCTACTTCTGATTCATGTTTTCCAGTAGACCCCCCCCCCAAGAAACCAGACAAAAAAAATGTATCACACAAGTAAAAAGATGTCAATACATTTCATTCCACTGCTTTATATTCCCAATTTGACAGGCAGACGGTGCACCTGCAAGAAAACGAGAGAAAAAAAACCATAGTTTAAGCCATTTATCAGAATTCATGAAAATATTGTTGGATTTATTATCTCATAACAGCACTGTTTATAAACATCCCTCTCCAATTACCTCTAAGAATACTTTACTTGGTCTACAACTGAAACTGAAAGCAGTTCAGAACTGGTATTTTAAACAGCAATTATCAGTTCTGTTTTCTCCCCCCCCCCCAGCAACTCTGAACTTTTGGCAGCCACATTGCCATTTATCTGGACGAGGCACTCCAGATTTACACCACCCAGGCAAACTCCTCGAAAAGAAGTGGAGAAACAGTGACAAGAAAAAGCAACTCCTTCCTACCCACATGCAAAAAACAGACTTGAAAACAAGCCAAAGGCGGCCAAACGGGACAAAGTGACACTGTCAATATTTCCGGGAGGGAAAGAAAATCAATCGGGGCAAGGCAGCCTGCCACTTTCTCAACTCTCCTCCCCGGATCAAAAAAAAAAAAAAAAAAGGAACCGCAAAAAAATCCGGAGCTGGACCGGGATCGCCCCAACAACTCCGATTCCCGACGCGGAGAGAGGAGCCGGGAGGCTCTCCCGAAACTAACTTTCCCTGGGAAACTTTCCCTCCTCTCGGCGACCGCCAGGAGCGGCTCCCGTGCCGGGACGGCCCGGCCGCCAGAGAGCCAAGCAGCGGGCGCCTCTCTCCGAGGGCGGCGGGGGACGCAGAGCCTTTCGGCCGGAGATGCCCTCCCGGAGAAAGGCAGCCGCCGTATGCAAAGGGCAGAAGCGGCCACGCAGGAGCCGGATCGGCGGCCGGGCGGGGGGCCGCGGCTGCCTCGGCGCTCCAGCCCGGAGGAGCAACCCCGCTCCGCCCCCGGTCCTCCAGGGGGGTCCCCGCCGGGAAAGCGCGGCCCGAGCGGCCCCCGCCCCCGGCAGAGGAGAGAGGCCTAACCCGCGGGTCGCCCGCGACGCCCTGGCCGCCCGAGCGCTGCCGCCGCCGCCGCTGCTTCTCCGGCCTGCGAGACGCCCGGAGGAGGCTCCGTGGCCCAGGCCGGCTGGGCGGGAGGAGCGGGGCCTGCGGCTCGGCCCTCGGCGAAGGCGGCCTGCACCTGCCGCGGCCCCCGCGGGCCTGGCGCAGCGCGAGCGTCGGCGGGGCCGGAGCAGGCCGCGGGGCCTGACGCGAGAAGCCCGCGCAGGGCCCTTTCTCCCCCCGCCGCCGGCTCGGAGGCGACTCGGCGGCGCGGCTGGCGGCCGCCGCCGCCGCCGCCGCCCCTCCGCCGAGGCCGGCCGAAGCCCCGCGGCGGCGCCCGAGACTCACCGGGGCCTACGAGAGGCGGAGCCCGGGCGCCCGAGGCCAGACGGCAGCGAAGACCCAAACTGACACGGCGGCCATCTTGGGTCCCTAGCGCTGCGGAGGGCGGAGAGGCCCTTGGCAGCGGAACAGCTCGCGCGGGGAGGAGTCGGCGGCGGGGGAGGGGTGTGGGAACAGCCTCTCCGAGCCAGGAAAGAGCAGCGCGGAAACGGGGGAGGAGGCAGGCAGGCAGGCAGGGAGGGAGGGGCGGCGGGTTGAGGGAGCAGCCACGGTCTGTGTATGTGTGTGCGCGCGCGATTTGGGCAGAGGGAGGCTGGCGGGGAGGGAGGGGGCGCGTGCGCGGCTCTGCGCAGGCGCGGAGCCGAGGTTGGAAATCCGCGCATCGCGCAGCTTTGCTACCTGCAGGCAAGGGAGCCTCGGGATCCCTCCTTGCGCGCTTACTCGGGAGTAAGTGCAGGGACGCTTGCAGCAACGCCGTGAGAAGGGCCGCCCGCCTGGCCGGCGCCTTTCCTCAAGCGTAAGCCGGCCTCTCTTGCCATCCAGGGGAGCCCGTCGGTCGCCGGTGTAAGCCCAGCAGACGCGCAGCAGCAACCGGGCCGGAGTTGCGCGGCCCCTTTCCGTGCTCTTTGGGCAGTAAGTTGGAGGCGTGCTTGGCCCCGAGTAAGGGGGCATCTCCAGCCTTGCAAACGCCCCCCATCCCTTCCTTGGGAGCCGCTCCCAAGTTAGCACGTCGGTGGGCGAGAGCTTCGAGTCCTTTGGTCCTCCTTTGCCTCTACTCGAGAGTAAATCGCGCCCGGCCTTCCCACGGGCCTTACGCGCGAGTAAGCAACGTTTCCCACCTCCAGCGGATCTCTGTATTTTCCAATAGGGCAGGGGTCCTCAACCTTGGCCACTTGATGACTTGTGGACTTCAACTCCCAGAATTCCTCAGCCAGCAAAGTTGCGGAGGTTGCAGACCCCTAGGGTCTCCTGCTTGAGCAGAGGGTTGGACTAGAAGACCTCCAAACTCCCTATTCTGTTATTCCGTTATTCATATTAGTGCTATTTATTTTTTTATTCATCTCACTATACTGTAGAATAAAATATATATTTAAACATTTATTGGCACCTGTGTATCCGTCCAAAGGGAGGGGAGCATTAAAGAATTAAAGCCTAAGCTCTAAAATTCACCTGTTTTACCTGGCAAAATATCACAGCTCAGCACACAAAATCAAATAATGGTAGCCCAGGAATGTCAGGACCAGAGAATTCTGGACGCCTGGAACAAAATCGAAACATCTATTTGTAGAGAATTGTTTCATTTGTCATCTTAAACATGAATGGGCAGGCTGGCTCTTTCAAGTACAATATTCTTGGGGAAACAAGGCTTAACAGACGTTTTTTTCTCAGGCTGAGTTCCTCCCCACCCATCCTTGGACTGGCAGAAAACTAGACCAGCCTGAAATTTATTCTTTCCCTTGCCAACCCACGTCCAGCCCTTCCTCCGTTCCCAGGGACTGATTTGAGTGCTCTCCAAACACTGGAGGCAAGCAGATTTCTACACAACTCGAGGCTGTTCTTGGTCAGAAAAAGAACAGATACAACATCAACAACAACAAATCTTTATTGCGGCAGAATGTGCTACATTATGAGTTATAATTAAAAAAGTGGGTACATATAAAATAATATACAGGTAGTCCTTCACATGACCACAATTGAGCTCAAAATTTCTGAGATTTGTTACGTCAGTTTTGCCCCATTTTATGACCTTTCTTGCCACAGTTGTTAAGTGAATCACCGCAGGTGTTAAGTTAGGAACATAATTGTTAAGTGAATCTGGCTTTCCCATGAACTTTGCTGGTCAGAAGGACACAAAAGAGAAAAAGAAAAGATGTTGAGACTCTAGTGTAGAGTGCAGAGAAGAGCAACAAAGATGATGAGGGGACTGGAGGCTAAAACATATAAGTACAGTAAGTTAATTTGAGGCCAGTCATCTGTCCTTCGAATGAGAACTCTGGGTTGATTTGTTCAATGATCCATTGTTTTATTGGATGTCCATGGTATTCTCAGGAGTTTTCTCCAGCGCCAAACTTCAAAAGCATCAATACTCTTTCTATCCTGCTTCAACTTTTCCTTCCATAGAGTGTCACGGAAATGCAATGTATCGCTTGCACTATTCTGATCTTTGGAATACAAACACATGATAGCATTTTAATCTTTTGCAAGGACTTCATGGCTGTTCTATTAAGTACAAATCTGTCCTTATTTTTCACAAGTAATATAATTCAGCTATCCATATTTACCCCCTCTTCTTCAATTCTGCATTATTATATTTACTTGTGTTCACCTATTAATGCTTTGCACAAGGAAATTTTTCTGGCTGTACAGAGCACATTGAATTACCAAGTAACTTTGCAAGCTGGGTTTTCACACTTTCAGCTAAAATGGGGATAGGTTTGTGATTCTCTGTAAGCCAGTATGCTTTCAGAGGTGTTTTCCAGGTAGGAGAGTTGATAAACCTATTTATTGTAGTATACTAAGTCAATGAATGTAATGTATTGTAATGCAGTATATTCATGTAATGTAATGTAATTTATGTAAATTGAAAATATGTAAATGCAAATATTAACATACTAAAAAGATTATAAAGAGTGTCACTGCTTCATTAGCTCAACCAAGTTAGGATTTGCCTGAAATGAATAATCAAAGAAAACAGCTTTTATGAACGGACCTGATTTTGAAGCTGGATTTTTAACAATGAAATAAAACTATTCCAGATGCAAATGACAGGTATTCTTGGGAGTTTTACAAAGTCTCTTTGGAGAGTTGAGGTTCAGTGACCTGGTTCTTCCATCTCATTTAAGTTATGGTTTTTGTTAACCCTGATTCACTGTCTGAATCACAAAAGGCTCAGTTTGTAAAATACGCTAAGCCACAAAGAGGGTTTTCAATTACAGATGGCGAAGGTTCAAGCTACATCATATTATGATTTTAGTGCTGGGTGAAGTCGATCCACGCACATTTCCACATCGGTTGAGATGTTCAAAAGACCTCCTTCCACTCTGAAAGTAGCACAACGATGTCAGCTTTGTGAACTACTCCAGACAAGAAGCATCACCCGTGACTATAACGACCGCAACTGAGCTCAAAATTTATGTTGCTGAGTGAAATGTTTGCTAAGTGAGTTTTGCCCCATCTGCCATAGCTGTTAAGAGAAACACTGCAGTTCGTAAGTTAGCATCATGGTTGTTCTGGCTTCCCCATTGATTTTGCTTGACAGAAGGTCACAAAAGCAGATCACGTGATCCCAGGACACTGCGACCGTCATAAAGATGAACCACTTGCCATGCATCTGAATTCTGATCATGTGACCATGGGGATGCTGCAAATGTGAAAAAAATGTTGCAAGTGTGAAAAACGGCCCTAGGTCACGTTTTTCAGTGCTGTTGTAACTCTGAACAGTCACTAAATGAACTTTTGTAAGTTGAGGACTACCTGTACTTTTAAACTAATATAAAGTTCCCTCCTGGTCATTACAGTCCAAGAAGCTGGAGAGGGTCCCTTCCGAGACATTTGCCGTGCCATTCCTTCGGTGGGCTCAGTTGCCTCTTATCCGACCGTTGTTTAGTCTTTATCCTTTCCTTGAGGTCATTCCCACATGCCCTTTTTAACGGCAATCCATTGCTTCATCACATTAGTTTATGGAACAAGCAAATCACTTCAGCCTTCTTAATTTCTCACGTAGCAGATCTGGGCTGCAAGCACCGGCAACCGATAGATGGTAGGAAAATGGCTGAGTGTGCCGTTTGAGTAGACCTCCGGAATGTGGCAATTCAGGTTACCCTTAAGCCAACGATGCCAGCTTCTTTGTGAAAGTCTGAGCTGAACTTTGATTCTGGATTAGGTGTCATACAATAAGTAAAAACTATTTTACTTCTTATACACACGTCAGCTTGATTCCTTACACAGCATGCGTTGAAGGACTGTCCTTCGTACAGGTGGTCCTCGGCTTACAGTCGTTCGTTTAGTGACCATTTGAAGTTACAACAGCACTGGAAAAAGTGACTTTTGAGCAGTGGTGGGATTCAAAGACGAGAACAACTGGGTTCTGTGCGTGGATGCCGCTTCCAGAAGTCCATTCTGGGCCTGGGCAACACAAAATTAGCTACCGGTTTTGCCGGAGTGTGCGAATCGGTTGAATCCCACCACTGCTTTTGACCATTTTTCACACTTATGACCACTGCAGCCTCCCCACGGACTATCTGTGTCCTTCCAAATGTTTCTACCTATAATCGTTGAGGGCCAGAGGCACTTTTCATCAGGTGTAATTCTCACCTGCGGAAACCTTGACTTTGTCTACTCAGTCATTTAAAGATCCCGGCCAGGCTGCTCTGGGCCTCCAAGGGATTTCCTAGATTCCCAGGTTGAGAGGGAGCTTTGATGCCTGGCCGGCTGGCCGTCGGTCGCTGCAGCACGGCAAGGGTTAACATAAATAGGAGGCTGCTACTTCAGGGCACCAGCTGCTTTTGCCTCGGATTCACAAGGCCCTCGGGATCTCTTAACCGTCTCATAAACTTGGTGTTAGTGGAGGCCATGCCTTGCATCATTAGCATGGGGGTGGGGGCGGGCAGGGGGCCTCTCTTGTAAGCACCAGCACTTGCACAAAGAAGTCTCTCCGTTCTGTTGTTTAGCTACCATCTTGTCCCAAGGTTTGCAGACCCCAATAAGGTTTAACATTGTGGGAGGGGAGGAAGCAAAGGGCATTCCCTTGGCATCATTTGCGAATGATTTGAAGCTAGAAGTTGCTGCCAAAGATTAAATCAATTGTTTCCAGTCCTAATGGATGATTGTCAGTCTTCTCCTCCCCCTTCCTTTCCCATTCTCTTCTTTTTCTCTCCTCCCCTTCCTCCTTTCCTTCCTCCTCTCCTCCTCTTCCTTTTCCATCCCCTTTGCCCTCTTCCTCTCCTCTCCCCTTCTCTTCCCTTTTCTTTCCTCCCCTTCCTCTTCTTCCTCTTTCTCTCCTTTCTTCTTGTCCTCTCTTCTTCTCTTTCTTCCCCTCTCCTCTACGCCTTTTTACCCTTCTGGAGCTCAGCTACGTGAGAAGGGATTCCTTTTCCCCTTATCCAAAAGGGCTCTGCCATGAATGGGCACCTGCTGAAGTAAGAGCCCTGAGACACGCTGAAGGTCGGGCCTGCAGGACACGGATGCAAATCAAAAGGCTAAAGTGACATTCAGCCCCTATGGACTAGCAACGGCAAAAGACCATCGCAGAATTAGGAAGACTTGACTCCTCCAGCAGGCCCCAGATGGCAGAAGTCGCTTTGGGGCGGGCTGGCTGCCAGGACAGTGGAGGGTCCCAGCTAGCCTGAAAACTTTCTTCCCAGGCCCAGACTTTCTCCTCTGACGAACAATTAGGAGCAGGTTTCCCCTAATTACTGATTTCTTCAGATGCAGCCTATTTGTTGGCTGCAGGCAGCTTGCAATGCTAAACTAGGAAAATATTTTCCAGCACGAAAAACATTATCTTGACATCTCCGCTGCTAATTAAGGCTCGGCTTCCAAAGCTCACAAAAGAGGGCTGTTTTCATCCGCCTGCCAAAAGATGGGGCTAACTGGACCTGCGGGAGTGGCTGTTACCCACCGGGAAGGGGATGCTATGAGAAGGCCATCTACCATCTGCCCAGATGCCCCAAGGGACCCATAACACACACCCCCAACTAGATTGTGTAGGGCGCTTGGGTGGACGTTCCGAGAAGGATCACTCCCCTCTGTGAGTCTGGCCAATCTTCCCTCTGGCTAGGCAATGGGGGAGCTTTAAAAGCCAGCTAGCCCTGTCCCATTTTGTTCCTATTCTTTTCTTTTTCTAGAAGCCCCCACAGTCAAAAAACTCAAAACATTAGCCATAATGGTGCAATCAAATGTTAAGACTCTAGAAAGAGTGCAGAGAAGAGCAACAAAGATGATTAGGGGGCTGGAGGCTAAATGTATGAAGAACAGTTGCAGGAATTGGGTATGTGTAGTGTCTAATGAAGAGAAGGACGAGGGGGGACATGGTAGTAGTGTTCCAATATCTCAGGGGCTGCCCCAAAGAAGAGGGAGTCAAGCTATTCTCCAAAGCACCTGAAGGCAGGACAAGAAGCAATGGATGGAAACTAACCAAAGAGAGAAGCAACCTGGAATTAAGGAGAAACTTCCTAACAGTGAAGACAATTAACCAGTGGAACAGCTTGCCTCCAGAAATCGTGGGTGCTCCATCCCTGGAGATTTTTAAGAGGAGACTAGACAATCACCTGTCTGAGATGGCAGAGGTTCTCCTGTTTGAACAGGGACTAGAAGACCTCCAAGGTCCCTTCCAACTCCTATTCTATTCTATTCTATTCTATTCTATTCTATTCTATTCTATTCTATTCTATTCTATTCTATTCTATTCTATTCTTCCCATATTCTACTCTACTCTACTCTACTCTATTCTATTCTTCCCATATTCTATTCTATTCCAATTCCAATTCCAATTCCGTTCATGGACTCCTGGCTTCTAATCTAGCAATTTCACCACTACACCAGACTGCCGCTGCTTGCTGCATCGGCTGCCACGTCCACCTAAACTCAACCCTCCCTTTTTAAGCCTACCCAGCTTCAGACCTGATGATCTTCTGCTCCTGCCAGCAGCTGAAGGCTCTGTACTAATGCCTGAGGGATTTCCACCCCCACACAAGAACATCTTGTCCTCAAAAAAAGAAAGGGAAAAAAAGGTGGGAGCTGATGATGCTTGACTTGCCTGGCAATGCGGTCAGTTGCAACCATCAAGGCAGTTAGAATATGCCACAGCTTTTCATCAGATCCTTTCCGTCCTGGAATTCTTGCTCTGTGACTAAAATTATTCTTTTGTTTTCAAAAGATCTAGTTTGTATTTTTGTAAATCAGTACAGGTAGTCCTTGACTTACAACAGTTCATTTAGTGACTGTTTGAAGTTACAACAGCACGTAAAAAATTGGAAATTGATTTATTACCATTTTTCACACTTACGACCAGTGATGGGATTCAGCCAGTTCTCGCCACTGTGGCAGAACCGGTAGCTAATTTTTTTGTTGCCCAGGCCCAGAATGGACTTCCGGAAGCGGCATCTACACAGAGAACTGGTGGTTCCCCTATTTGAATCCCACCACTGCTTACGACCCTTGCAGCATCCCCATGATCGCGTGAAAAAAGTTCAGATGCTTGACAACTGACTCACATTTATGATGGTTGCAGTGCCCCAGGGTCATGTGATCACCTTTTGTGACCTTCTGACAAGCAAAGTCATTGGGGATGCCAGATTCACTTAACAATTGTGACGAGAAAGGCTGTAAAATGGGAGAAAAACTCACTTAACAAATAATAATAATAATAATGATAATAATAATAATCTGAAGAAACAGGGGACCACCTGGTAAGCTGCTGCAAGAAGATCGCATAGACTGACTACAAGCAGCGGCATGACAAAGTAGCAACTATGGTGCATTGGAAGATCTGCAAGAAATATCATTTGCCTGTAAGCAAGAACTGGTAGGATCATAAAATAGAGAAAATCATAGAAAATGATAAAATTAAACTGCTCTGGGACTTAGAATTCAAACAGACAAGCACCTGCAACATAACACCCCAGACTTAACAATTGTCGATAAGAAAGACAAAAAAGTCTGGATAGTGGACGTGGCAGTGCCTGGATACGGCAGAATAGATGAGAAAGAACTGGAGACGATAACAAAATACAAAGACTTACAAATAGAAATAGAAAGACTGTGGCAAAAGCAAGCAAGGGTAGTACCAATAGTAATTGGGTGCATTCCCAAAACAACTGGAGCGCCGCTTGAACACCATTAGCATTGACAAACTTGCCATTAGTCAATTGGAAAAGGCGGCCTTACTAGGAACTGCTTCCATCCTGCCACGAGACCTGTAACACCATCAAACACCCACTCTGCCTATCCCAGGTCCTGGGTAAGGACTTGATAGGTAGACAAAATGCCAAATCCAGTCTGAACATCTGGCTGACTGCGATGATCCATAATAAAATAATAATAATAACAACAACAATAATAATAGTTTGAAGGGATCTTGGAAGTCATCTAGTTCAATCCCCTGCTCCCTCTACTGACGTTGTTAGTTTGAGGGCTGCTTGGGCTCTGACACACCCAAGCTGAGGGGGGGGGAACACTGACACCGCTAAGCAGCAACACCTATCCCCCTTTCCTTCTGTAGCCGTAAACTGAGGACTGGAAGTTCGTCAAGAAGGCGAAGCAGGAGGGGCGCAAAGCAGCGCGAAAACGTTGCCCAGGCACCCCCGCTTACCTAAATGCGCATGCGCGGCCCGCCCGTCACATGCCGCACGCCGAAGAGAAGGGGAACTTCACATAATCGCGTAGCAACTGCCCCGTTGCTATAGAGCCGCAGCGACCCGCCTCCCTGGTTCGCGCGAGCTTTTCAAGATCAGCCAATCTCTTGCTCCTCTTTTCCCTCGGCTCAGCGTTTACCGGCCTCCCGGGCTGCCACTCGGGGACGATGCCGGGCCTTACCGACCAATCGATGGATGGCATTAGGAGGCCCCGCCCTGCCCCAACGACACCAGTTCTGTCAATCGGAGCTGTCAGGAACCGGCGACGGCGGCGACACGGAATAGGAGGAAAGGGGGGGGGTCCTCCGCTGGCCAATCAACGGCGAGGGTGGGCGGCTTCCGAGGGATCTATTCCCCCCCAATCACGGTTTATTTGAGGAAGCGGCGGCTGCGATGCGGAGGCTGTGAATTGGGGTCAGGGGCTCCGGAAGAAGGTAAGCTTAGGGTCTCCTGCCTGGCTTGGACCTTCTGGGTCGAGATCCGTGGGAATCCCTTGCAAAGAACGTGTCGATTTGATCTGAACTCAGAATCTGATTTCCGGAGACACCGGGTCCTGGTTGCTAGATTGAGCCAAATTGAACCATGGTTCTTTGAATAAGCCACAAATGTACTGGCTTTGCACAGCCTGCTTAATAAGCTACAAATGAATTGGCTTTGCATAGCCTAATAAGCCACAAATGAACTGGCTTTGCATAGCCTGCTTAATAAGCCACAAATGTACTGACTTTGCACAGTCTAATAAGCCACAAATGATCTGACTTTGCACAGCCTAATAAGCCACAAATAAACTGGCTTTACATAGCCTGCTTAATAAGCCACAAATGAGCTGGCTTTGCACAGCCTGGTAATAAGCCACAAATGAACTGGCTTATGATCACATAATCAAAGCCCCACCCACTTTGTCCATGGCCACCATCTTTCCTTCTTCTTTTCTTTGTAACATGCCCCTCTTTCTTGGATGCCCCTGTTTTGAAAATCAAAACTTCTAACCTGACATTCTTTAAGCCAGTTCTTAGCTGCAGCTCAGGTTCCTCTTGTCTCCAGTTACCTCTCTGGTTACAAGTCCTTAAGGCAAAATCTTACCTGAGAAAAACCACCAGCACCTCTGCAATGGCTGGCCCTCTTTTTCAAATTTCTCCTTGGACGTTGCAACAGCTGTCTAAATTCTGCAATGCCTTCCTGCACCGTCTTCATGTGCTCGTCCCACATTCTTGCTGATGACTGTGTTGGCAGCTATAAATCGGCTTGCACTTCATCCTCTTAGCTTATGGCATACTCAGATCCGGAAAGGCAGCAAATTCTGATTGCGGTGGAGAAACCTTGAGGCGAAAGAACAGACTTAAGAAATCCTACATGCTCGTGTGTATTTGTGTGTTGGTTTTTAGACTTGAGGAGCCACAGAGCAGTTGATCTCTGGGTTGGCAACGGGTCCTCAGCGGTGGGCCTCCTTCTGGACCAGCAATGATTCACAGCCTCTTCCTCATCAACTCCTCTGGAGACATTTTCCTAGAGAAACACTGGAAGAGCGTGATCAGCCGTTCGGTTTGCGACTACTTCTTCGAGGCTCAAGAACGAGCTTCGGAGGCCGAAAATGTGCCCCCGGTGATCTCCACCCCTCACCATTATCTTCTGAGCGTGTATCGACACAAGATCTTCTTCGTGGCTGTGATCCAAACAGAAGTGCCACCGCTTTTCGTCATTGAGTTTCTTCACCGGGTGGTGGATACATTTCAGGTAGGTGAAATATTCCGGGGATTTAGAATTAATGCACAACTGGGGTTTTTTTTGGGGGGATTGTGAAGTGGATGTTTAAAATGTAGCATGCTGAAGCATGGATAATAAAATTCACATGGCTAGGAGGAGGAGAACACAGGGAAATCACATGATGTCTTGTGATATAGGATGATGCAGTGTGACTGATAAATGCTTTCTTCTGATGTCATTAGAGATAAGAAGGCATTGTGGTAAAAATATCATCGGTGTGAAAAAAAATGTATCGTTAGGGAACGATTGTCAGTATTTTTTTTCCCAGATTTGGGGCTCTTTATAAAGGCCTTTCAAGGTTCCGATCAAAAAATACAGTAATGCTATTAGCATTTGTAATAAATAGTTTTGTTCAATTGTTGGCAGAATCGTTATCTTGTTCATTTCAACTACCATTAGTTGCAATTAGTTGCTGTATATAGCTAGTTGGTTCTTTGGACTAGGTTTGGCATTTAGCAGACCATAATCCGAACGTGAGTCAGTATATGAACCAGTCCGAGTGTGGTGCTAGGGATATCCATGTCAAGAAAGTCAAAAATGTGCCCATTTTTAAAGTGTAAACCAGTGTTTGTCAACCTTGGCAACTTGAAGATGTGGGGACTGAAATCCCCACATCTTCAAGTTGCCAAGGTTGACAAACACTGGTCCACATTTTTTGCAAACAGGAGCAGGGATCAACGATACAGGTATCCACCCTCTACCTTTTGATCCCTCCCTGCAAATGCCTCTCTACAATGCCCCTTTTCTACTCTACTGCACTGGTGGCAGGTTGAGGAGACACCCTGGCAGGCAGGTAAGGGAAAATGGAACAGCTCAAGCTTGCCCTGCTTGATCAGCCGGTTTGGCAAAGCCAAGGTCCCCTGGGCACGCAAACTTTCGTGTAAGTACTGCGAGCCCAGGGATGATTAGCATAAAGGCAAGACTGGCCTTGCCAAACCAAGCAACTCTTCCAAGCAGGATTGGCCCCAGGATTCAGCCTGATTGAAAGTGCAGGTCGTCCTCTCTTTGCAACAGTTTGTTTAGTGACCGTTCGAAGTTACAACGGCCCTGAAAAAAGTGACTTACGGCCATTTTTCCCCATGTCACGTGATTAAACTATTGACATCTGTATTTTAGTTATTTTAAATATACATGTCTGCTTTTTTTTTTTCCCCTTGGAGTCTTCTCAGTTTTCTTCCTATCCCCATATAGATAGTTCCTTATAGGGCTATATGAAATTAGGTTGAGCTCTTAGTTGTAACTTGGACTCCTTTATTATCCATGTTCCTGGTTTTCAGTTTCTGCTGGAGCTCCCTGATGGTTGTAAGATGAGAAATGCTGCTTTTGTGGCCTTTGAAGCAGGAAATCCACAAAGGGAGGCTTTCTCCATTCCAAATCCTGTTCGGATGAATGGAAGCAGACTCTTTAAATTGTACCTCCATCTGGTCTGATGATGGGATGGGCCATTTCCAGATGGTTTTAGTGGTCCCACAGTACAATCCCCCTCCCCTCCCGCCTTCTTTTCTGCTGAGGCTGGGCAGGAGATAATTCTTTCTGAGCCATGGCTCGTGTTCCCTTATTTTGGAAGTCATTTATAATTTTGGTTCTCACCTAATTCTTGGGCATTTAGTGAATCTCTCTTTTCCTGAGGCAGCTCACCCCGAGAATGGAGAGCTGCTTAGTTTTGCTTCTTATCATCCTCCCCATTCTCCCAGGATTATTTTGGAGTCTGCTCTGAGGCGGTCATCAAGGACAACGTGGTGGTGGTCTATGAAGTGCTCGAGGAGATGCTGGACAATGGCTTCCCCTTGGCTACAGAATCCAATATTCTGAAGGAGCTGATCAGACCACCGACAATCCTCCGGACGGTTGTCAATACAATCACAGGTAGGTGGTTGTGACTGGCCTCACATAGTCCATTAGGCTAAAATGGGGTTGGTTGGTTGGTGGTTTATGGGGTTGGCTGAATAGCCTACAGTACGTAGTTAGTGTATGGTGAAGGGTTTAGTACAAACTAAACTCCTGGGTCCAGTTTTGCATGGCGTAGAGTGTTACACTCACACAGCCTACTTGGGCTTTTTTCTGATTGTGGAAGATGGACAGAAAGGCTGTGTTCAGTTATCCTACCAAAAACCAGGGCTTTGTTTGATTTTGGGTTAACATGGCAATTGTAATGTAGTTAACAAACATGGTTAATCAAATCACAGGTTAAGGTGATAGGCATACTTACTTGGGAATAAATTCCATTAGGATTTAGCACTGAGTTAGACTGGCTGATGGTGTGGTTCAGGATTGTGCCGAGGAGAACCGATTACCCAAAGAGTAAAAATCAGCATTGTCCTCTATAAAATATTTGAATATTTATTTTACTGTGGTTTACTGTCAAGGTAGTGTCAGATGTACAACAGCATAGCCGACACTGTTCTATTTCGGGGGAGGGTTGCCGTTTTAAAAAGATATGCAAAACAGGCGAAAAAAAGCAAGGAACCCGTAGAAAGATCAAACTGCACATTTATATTAGGAAAAGGACCATGCAAATAAAATTGTAGAAGAGAATGTTTGTGGCTCATGGCTGAACTATGGGGTCCTTGGTGCCCTCTGAGCTTGCTGGTTTCCTTGCAGACGTTTCATTACCCAACTGCTAGCACTGATGATGTTATGTAGTTTGGTAAAGAAACATCTGCAAGTAAACCCCATAAATAAAATCGCTTCTGTTTGGTGTCTAATGTTTCTAAGACAGCAGGCTGGTTGCATAGACCTTCTAACCCCAAAGCATTGCTCACTCCCTCTGTGTGTGTGAGAGAGAGAGAGAGAGAAAGAGAGAAAGAGAAAGAGTAAGGTTGTAGCCATGATTACATGGTGAAAGCCTACCTACTTTTATGTGACGTGACATAGGTAAAAAGGAGCAGGGCTTTGATTGTTGGGTTGTGGCCACCATTTTGTCCTAGGTTATTGGTGCAGTTAAACTGACTTGTCTGGCCCGTGTTCTGGCTTCTTCCTCCCTTCTTCGTCTTTCCAGGAAGCACCAATGTGGGAGAGCAGCTCCCCACAGGGCAGCTGTCCGTGGTGCCCTGGCGACGGACCAGCGTGAAGTACACCAACAACGAAGCCTACTTTGATGTGATTGAGGAAATAGATGCCATCATCGACAAATCAGGTATTCCAATCCCGTCCTTGCTCAAAGACAGCAGAAATCTCTGCATTTATGGAAAACCACCTAGACTTTGTCCTTTGCTTAGCCAAATTTTTGGAAGCAAATTTTTACCCCTGCCTTTTTCCCCCTGGAGCTGACAGAGAGACTGCTCCATGTTCCTGTGCCTCAGGCAGACTAGAACTTAGTGATCTCTTCCAGCATCTTCACCTCTACATCAGATTGGCTTTCTTTTCTAGTTTACTTTCCCTAATTAGTTAATGAGTGGTTGCTTTGCCTACAGCTTGGCAAATATAAACTTACTGTGAGGCATGAAGAATCTAGACCAGAGGTCCCCAACCTTTTGGGCACCAGGGACCGGTTACATGGAGAGAGATTTTTCCGCGGACCGGAGGGGCCGTGGTTTCGTGTTCTGCCTGCATCCCACAGATGGGGCTTTGCTTATTTGTGTGGCCTGGTTGCTAGCATGCCACGGCCCAGTGCCGGTCGACGGACCGGGGGTTGGCGACCCCTGATTTAGACCACAATCAAGTTCCAGTTAGGAAGATTTATTGGCCATGTCTATTCAAAAAAAATATAGCCAACTAATGGTCAATAGTAAGTTGGCCCTAGATAAGAGTCAACAGAATTCAAGAGGAGCTGGGCTTGGATTGTTTGTGGGAACGTAACAACTCTAGGCTGATGACTTGCTTGACTCCACTCCCCAGACTCTGCTTGCTCTTCTTCTAAACCTACCTTTTAGAAAGAATACAGAGAGTCTTCAACTCACAACCATAACTGAGCCCAAAATTCCATTGCTAAGTGAGACGGTTGTTAGTAGCTGCGTTTTACCCCATTTTACTACCTTTCTTGCCATTAAGTGAATTGTTCCAGTTGTTAAGTTACCAACACGGTTGCAGATCGAATCTGGTTTCCCCCTTGAGTTTGTTTGTCGGAAAGTCACAAAAGATGGTCACATGACCCTGGGAGACAATGGAAATGTCACAGTGAGCCAGTTGCCGAGGGTCCAAATTTTGATCCCATGATTAGGGGAACATTGCAACCACCGTAAGTGTGAAAAACAGTCATAAGTCATTTTTTTCAGTGCTGTTATAAGTTCAAATGGTTATATGAGGGTTAGAGGGTTTAGAGTAGCCCAGGTGTCCTTCCTGATCTATGTGAATTACTTTTTGTTTGTTCATATGTGTTGCAGGTTCCACAATTACAGCTGAAATCCAAGGGGTGATTGATGCCTGCGTGAAACTGACTGGGATGCCTGACCTCACTCTCTCCTTCATGGTAAAAACGAGAGGGGAAAGACCCCTCTTGCCCATCAGTTGTAATAAATTCCCTGGCTGCCCTTTCACAGCCAACCATCCTGGAGCCAATATCCAAAAGAGGAAAGCAGGACCCACAAGTGGTCTGAAACAGTAAAAGCAGAGCACCGGTGTTCTGCTTGACTGCCATAAATCCATAAAGTTGGTGTAGGTGACTTTGGTTCTTCATCTCTTGGTGGATATTCAGATTCTGCCACAGTTTATTTCCCGGCCTGCAGAGGTGGATAAAAAATTAGGAACAACTCTGGAAGAGAGAGGTGCAGTAGCTTTGTTGTAAAAAAGGGGAAGGGTCTTGTGGAAGGGAAGGGTGATATGAGAAGAGTTTACCTCAGGGGTCTTCAAACTTGGCCACTTTAAGACTTGTGGACTTCAACTCCCAGAATTCCTCAGCCAGCCTTAAAATGTTAAAGTGGCCAAGTTTGAAGACCCCTGATTTACATCTTTGAAAATGGGGATTGGGAACCATGTCAAAGAGAGAAGAAAACCAAAGCACGACATAGTGTGGCTATAGCTGAACTGGACACTTCATAACAAGGGAGTAGCAACGTGTTTCTCAACCTTTAAGACCCATGACTTAAATCCCCAGAATTCCCCAGCCAGCAAAGCTAGCTGAAGAATTCTGGGAGTTGAAGTCCACAGGTCTTAACGTTGCCAAGGTTGAGAAACACCAGAGAACAGCACCACCTGCCAAGGAACTTCCAGCTCTTCTATCCTTCTTTTTTCAGAACCCCAGATTGCTGGATGATGTCAGCTTCCACCCCTGTGTGCGTTTCAAGCGGTGGGAATCCGAACGCATCCTGTCCTTCATCCCCCCTGATGGGAACTTCCGCTTGCTCTCTTATCACGTCAGCGCTCAAAAGTAAGATGGATTCTTCCAGCGTTTTGGACTTTCCCCCTTTATCTGAGGGAACAAAAGATGGTCCATGGAATCTTCCACTAGAGAATTCTACCTTTGGCTTCATACAAGTATCAGGGCTGACATCACCCCTATCTTCTTGGGATGAATCTCTCTAACAAGCTGTAGTGCAGGGGTTTCCCAAGTCTTGTGGACTTCAACTCCCAGAATTCCTCAGCCAGCCATGTTGGAATTCAAGCCATTTCCTGAAAGGAAAGGTTTAAGTCGGACAGAAAGGCAAACTCAGACTGGCAGAAGGGCTCTTAATCTGGAAGAGGTGGGATTTATACACATTCTAGAACAGGGATAGGCAACCTTGGCTCTTTTATGACTCGTGGACTTCAACTCCCAGAATTCCTGAGCCAGCCTGGCTCAGCTTGGAAACCTCTCCCTTTCCCCTCAGCACAGCTGCCTCAGGAATCCTGGGAGTTGAAGTCCACAAGTCATAAAAGAGCCAAGGTGGCCTACCCCTGTTCTAGAATATTGTCGTTGCCTTGATTAGATGGTTTCCCAGCATATGGCCGCCAACCTCGGCTGGCTGGGGAATTCTGGGAATTGAAGTCCACAAGTCTTAAAAGTTGCCAGGTTTGGCGATCCCTGCCGCAGTGCGATGCTTTCTACCTCAGCAAAGCAGCAAGACCGAGAATCCTGCTTTTTGTGAGATACCAAAGCTACCAAGATTGGTGGGAGACCGTCCAATCAAGACAGGGACAATATCCAAGAATGTATTTACATCTCACTTCCTCAGGATTAAAGGCCCTTCTGCCACTCTGAATTTGCCCTTTCTCGTCTGGCTTAACCCCTTTTTTTTTCAGGGAACTGCTTATCGCCTTCCTGGCCTTGTCCCCAAGCTTTTCTCTGTGCAGGTGGGCAGCCTTCTAACTAGAGCATCGGGCCACCTCCGTCTGCCATGTTTATTTTCTAAAGTACAAATGGTAACTTCAGAAAAGAAAGATTGTGAGGATCGGGGATCCTAGAGGGCAGCTTCTTATTCACCTTTCTCTACATTTGAACAGCAAAATGAAGATGAGGTGGCAGCACCAAGGGAGGGGTCTATGGAAACATGGATGCCATGGACACCAGGTTGTCTCCGCTACTGTGGGAGTTACACCACTTTGGGTACCCAGTAGTTTTATGAGAAAAGAATATTGGTAGCTCAGGGTTGAACTGTGGGGTCCTTGGTGCTCTCTGAGCTTGGTGGTTTTCTTGCAGACATTTCATTACCGAACTAGATAACGTCATCAGTGCTAGAAGGGTGTGGGCTTTGCTCCTTGTTTGTATATTAGTGGCTCGCCCTATCAGTGCTGGTGGGAGTGTTCTTGGTGCTTCCTTGAACCATCAAGCCTAATCAACAACCTAATCAAGGAATCCCTAAGAACATTCCCACGAACAAGGACAGGACAAATCACTAGTATATAAACAAACAGCCATCCCACACCCTTTTAGCGTGGTGCTGTTACCTAGTTTGGTAATGAAACGTCCACAAGAAAACAGTCAAGTTCAGAGAGCACCAAGGACACCACAGTTTTATGAGATGCCAACAGCTCACCAATCTTCAGGCCATGCTTATTCTTTCCACTTGCTCTTGCTGTGATGCCAGCCGGGGATTAGCGGGGTACACCTCCTTTTGCCATGATAATGCTCTTCTTTTTCTGCAGCTTAGTGGCCATCCCCGTCTACGTGAAGCACAACATCACCTTCCGAGACAGCAGCTCCCTCGGCCGCTTTGAGATCACTGTGGGGCCCAAGCAGACCATGGGGAAGACGGTGGAGGGGGTCCTGGTAACCAGCCAGATGCCCAAAGGAGTGCTTAACATGACCCTCACACCTTCACAGGGCACACACACGTTTGATCCTGTCACAAAGGTGAGGAAGTAGATTCTTCTCTTCTGTAGGATTAAGATTAAGAGCCGTGGTAGCACAGTGGTTAGAAAGCAGTATTGCAGGCTGACTCTGCCCACTGTCAGGAGTTCGATCCTGACTGGCTCAAGGTTGACTCAGCCTTCTATCCTTCCGAGGTCAGTAAAATGAGGACCAAGATTGTTGGGGGCAAGAGCTGACTCTGTAAACCGCTCAGAGAGGGCTGTAAAGCACCGTGAAGCGATTATATAAATCTAATTGCTGTTGCTATTAATTCACTGTGAACTATTTTGTCACCTCTTTCTCCATCCTTCCCTTGAAAGCTCCTGACATGGGACGTGGGGAAGATTAATCCTCAGAAGTTGCCCAGTTTGAAGGGGACGATGAGTCTTCAGGCAGGGGCCTCCAAGCCTGACGAGAATCCCACCATTAACCTCCAGTTCAAAATCCAGCAGTTGGCGATCTCTGGTTTGTGATCTTTCAATTCTCTGTCTTTTTTGTTTTGTTTTGTTTTTGCCCCTTTTTTAAAGCAGGGGTCCCCAACCCCCGGTCCGTGGTCTAGTATAGTACCAGGCTATAGCATGCCAGCAACCAGCCGCACAAGTAAGCAAAGCCCCATCTGCAGGATGCAGGCAGCACTCATCTCTTGTATTTTGAATCAGTTCTTAGTCAACTTGATAAAAGAGTATTTCAGAATTTCCTTCTGAAGAGACTATCGGGGAAAAATATTTTTAGAGCATTATGTTCTTGCATTTTTTTAGAGGCAGGGCAGTCATGTTGGTTGGAATAAGCTTCGTGCCGATTTGCAAGGATCTGCAGTTCCCATACTTTCATTAAACTCTAGAGCAGTGGTTCTCAACCTGTGGGTCGGGACCCCATTTGGGGTCGAATGACCATTTCACGGGGGTCACCAAACCATGCTGTCCGCCATTTTTTTCCCTTTTCCCTAGCTGTCCTACTCCCTCTTATTGGTGGCCACACCCACTTGGGGGTCACCACAACATGGGGAACTGTATTATGGGGTCACGGCATTAGAAAGGTTGAGAATCACTGCTCTAGAGCAGGGGTCTCCAACCTTAGTAACTGTAAGACTTGTGGACTTCAACTCCCAGAATGCCCCAGCCAGTCCATAAGTCTTAAAGTTGCCACAGTTGGAGACCCCTGCTGTAGAGAAGACCTTGAAAGAAACTTCAGTCCCGTATTGTTGGTGTTAAGAGGAATTGCGAGACATTATTGCGAAGGGTTTTCCTCCTTCGAAGAAGTTCAGAGGGGTTATCCACCCAATTTCTCCGCCACAATTGGCTGAACGTTTTGGAAAACGTTTTGGGTGAAATTTGTGCCCTGTTTTTGCAGCCGCCTCCTCCGTCTTCTCCATTGCGTCACCTTCACACCCTCGTGTTTTCTGCCCGCTCCAGGTCTGAAGGTGAACCGCTTAGACATGTACGGAGAGAAGTACAAGCCTTTCAAAGGGATCAAGTACATGACCAAGGCTGGGAAGTTTCAAGTCCGGACCTAAGACAGCTTCTGCCCAGGAGAAGACATGGGATTACTACTCCACCTCTGCTCTCCTCTTCCTCATGGTTGCTTCTTGATGTGACCCATCTGGATGTCTTCTGAGACAGGCTACTTTTCCCCCAGTTGGGCCAGCCCTTCTTCCTTCTCTAACCCTGATGGCAACCAAGAGCAAAAAGGAGAAGTAGTAACTTCTCTTTGGGCTTGCTTTCAGCTTCAACAGAACGCTTCCCCCCCCCCCCCCGCTGGGTTCATGGCCGGCTGGAGCTGCAGCAGAAGAGATGTTGGAAAACACCAACAAGGGGAGGACGAAGGATCTTCCTGCTTATTGCATGGGATTGTGACTGGAGAAGAGTTCCATGCCCATGGAAGGTCCAGCTGATGGGAGTCTTTCTCTCCCAACTTGTCTTCGCTCAACCTTTCTGATTTAACTGTATCCGTGTGGACGAAAACAGGAAAGAGACAGCTCCTTTCTTAGAAGGTTGCGGCGATTTAGAAGAGTGTAAAGTGTAAATTTGCTCAGCCTGGCTGTGGTCTATGGAGGATTTGCACGCTTGGTGACAGAGCTTGAGAAATGAGGCCGTTCCAGATGTATGGAAGCAAAGTGGAAACGAAAAACACAAGCATATATACTGTTAGAGCATAGAATCTGTTGTAGCATTGGCTGCTAAAGAAACGGGGCAGGGGGGAGCACCGATTTGGGCTGCGCGGGTGGGGTTTCCGGGCTGCTGCGTTTCCTCTTGCATGTGCTTGCGTGTTGCACTTCCAGCTGATCTCTGACATGTGTTGCTGCTATACTAATAGATCTGCTTTCCCCGGTCTGGTGCCCCCTGGCTGCCCGGCTGCGTGGCTGCTGTCCCTGGATCTTCTCCTGCTGGATCAGAATGGCCGTACAACAGCTTTTCTCCATGCCAGGCTAGGCCACAGGCTGTTGGTCCCTTTTTTGGTGCAACTTAGAGCTTCAGGGTGTTGCCCTTCTTAAGCCTGAGCTAAATCCGAGCTGTGTGTGTGTTCCCATTCTGATCTGGACTCACCCCTCTTTGCATGCCTCTGTTTTGTTTGTTGAGAGGAAAAACTGGAGACAAATCCAAGCATTTGGCAGCTCCTTTCTGGAAGGCCCTAAGCATGCCTTGAAAAACTCCAGACCCAAGGAGGTGAGATCTGCCAGTCAGGTTGGCAAATGCACTCTCAGCATGACGACTTTGCAACTTTCCTCTCCTCTCCTCCTCTCCCTCTCCCTTAAAGTGGGTGTGAGTTGGGATGCTGTTGCAGGGCAGGAAGAAAATTACGGCCCGGCTATTGCAAGGGGGGTGTGCCTGCCTGCCTACTTGTAGCAGCAGGATTATTTTTTAAAAGCCTAGGCTTTTTAGAAAGCCTCCATCTGAGACTGGCTGTCATCTTTTATTTGCACTATTTAACCAGGATTTAACCAGATGTAAAATGCAAATATTGCGTTCTTAATAGATGTTTGTCTGAGAATGTCCATTGTTTGCTTTTGTGCATCTTGCGGTCAAAGTTGAGCTCTTTGGCACTCCTCTTTGTGTTATGATCGAAGAACTTTGCAAGGATCTGGTGTTCAAAAGACTCAAAAGAACGTCCACTTGTCTCTCCCGTCCCAAAATCCAGGATCTGATGCACCTTTTCTGACCAACAAATTGTATTCAAGGCATACTCACAATTGTCTTTTAGGCCTTTGGTTGGAAAAGGGGCTACCTTTGTGTCTCCAGGAAAGAGGGGGATTTTTTTCCCCAGGTGACACCTGCCTTGATGCAAATGATACGGGCTTCAGAGGGATGATTCCTGGAGACTTTTGAGGATGCACCGTCTCCTTCGGTTCAGTAGGTGAAGGTACAAGCCCAAGACTTAGCATGCTTTTTTGTGAACAAACCAAGGGGACTTCTGAAGAGAGGCAGCCTTGTTTGAGGAATCAAAGCAGCTTTATGGTTCATACCAGAGAGGAGTTCTGTACAGAAGGTCTGTCTTGAGTTGAGAGGCTCATTTCTAAGGAGCCTGCAGATATCCAGATGTGTGCACCACCAAGGCTAGGGACCCAAGTGGCCTTCAGCCTCCATTCTTTCCCATTTCAGTCAAAAGCTCACGATCCTTCTGTCCCTCCCAGCCGTTTAGATGGGCTAATTTTTGTAGTTGGTTTTTATTGTCTTTAAAAATTGCTTCTAGTTTTAGAGGGTTAGCACTTGTCTTGAACGATGCCTGGGGGGCCAGAAGGAAGCACAGACTTTGAAGTAATAAGCAAAATCAATCTTCAGGCAAGTGTAGGAAATGGAATCAGAACTCATTAGATCTTCACAGAGTAATTAATCCATGGAACAGCTCGCCTCACAGAATTGTGGGAACTCCCCTCATTGGAGGTTTTCAAGAAGAGACTGGAGTGCCATTTGTCTGAGATGGAATAAGGACTCCTGCCCTCTGCAGGGGATGGACTAGGAGACCTCCAAGTTTCCTTCCAGCCCTAGGATTTAGTTTAGCATCATGCTCTGGTAACATTTAGTTTAGCATCATGCTCTCTCCCCCAATTCCAGCCCCCTCCCACAAGAAACTCCATAATTGCCCAAAGGTCATCCCAACCTTCCAATGTCTTGCTTTGAGCTTGTAGTTTCAGGAAGATGTAGGACAGTAGTACAGTAGCTCTCTAGATCTAAAGGAAGCTCCTTTGATCAGGGATCATACTGGCAGAGCTGATAGAGCTTGGAATTTAAAAGGAATGTACTTCTATGATCCTTGACCCAAGGGATTAAGTGCCTGTATGAAGAAGTTGTTTCCTAAAGGAGCAAAAAGCACAAGTGAACGTGGGCAATTATTTTTCATTGAGTTAAACTTCTGGAGTGATCATTGTTCCCAACGTTGTAGAAATATTAAGGGATGCAGTCCATTTTTGGATTACTAATAAGTCTGTCTGGGCTACTTGCAGACATCTGAGAGACATCTGATGAGTTCCTCTGAAAACAAGACCCCGTAATCCTGTAGGACTTTGGGCTGATCTTAATGTCATTCCACAAAGAAGATTGAACATATTCATAAATTCCATAAGTCCTATGGACTTCAGGTCTATGTAGGATTTGCACTTTGTTAAGAGAAGTCTGATAGGATATTGGTAGCTCCGAGTTGAACTGTGAGGTCCTTGGTGCTCTCTGAGCTTGGTGGTTTTCTTGCAGATGTTTCATGTCTAGCACTCATGTTACCTAGTTTGGCGATGAAATAAGGACCCCACAATAAGGGAAATCTTAACAATTCAATGAGGCAATGATCGTACCGTAAGATGGTATTGTAATGTGGACATTTGACTCCAGTCCCCCTACAAATGCCCATGCCATAGTCCAGTAAATCATACATCAACATAGCAGGCAACCCCTGTGTCAGGTATGGTGTGATGCACAATGAGCCAATCGAGGATAACTTCAAGTAACGTAAAATAGTTTAATGCATTAAAACATACAAGAATTCTCAAAGGTGTTCTTGATGGGCAGAAGACAGCTCTGTCACTTTGCACATCGGAAAGTGGGGTTTTGATTTTATACAGAGAATGTGAAATATTTAGAGAGTATAAAAATAATCTTTTGAAGTTTTAGGGAGAGGGGGTGCCCAAAGTGACTACTGAGTCCTCCTTTAAATATATATATTAGTAATTAATTCTATGATTTGGTTTTCCCCCAAGGATTTCTTCAGTATGGTAGAAAAGACCTTGAAGTGCTTCCCTTAATTTATAGAAAGCAGTTTTTTTTCAAAAAACCAACTAGGGGAGGCATATCTGAGGAACCCCCAAGGCCAGCCTAGGATCCTTCTACTCAGAGTCTCCCAAAGAAGACTAGAGGCAGAGGCAATTCTCAGATGTTGTTGTGACAAATAGAAGTGGTCCTCAGCTTACAACAATTAGTTTAGTGACTGAAGTTACAACAGCACTGAAAAAGGTGACTTACAACCATTTTTCACATGATTGTTGCCACATCCCCATGGTCATGTGATCAGATTTTGGATGGTTGACCACTGGCATGTATTTATGGCGGTGGCAGCACCCCAGGGTCACATCATCCTCTTTTGGGACCTTCTGACAAGCAAAGTCAATGGAGAAGCCAGATTCCCTTAACAACTGTGTTCATATCTGGCAGCCAAAAGGCACGATGAACATTCTTTAATTTCACAACAGATCGACAGATTTAACCGTAGTTTCAACCGGGGAAATGTGACAGTCCTAGAGCAGGCCAAATCCCAAAACGCCAGGGGATTTCTAGAAGCCTGGCAAAGCCGCCATCAACAGACACATAGACATTAGCAACATCTGTAGACTATGCAAAAGAGGCAATCAACCAGTCCCCAAAACTGGTAATCAGCATTCAGATCAACAGTCAAGGAAGCAACACCCCAGTCAAGGAATTGCCACAGAGCCATTAGTAAACAGCCCAACCAGAGAATCCCTAAGACCACCCAGACAGGCAAGATCCCAGAATACAAACTGACAGCTCCCATCCTAGCACTGATGATGTTAACCTAGTTAGGGTCACAAAACGTCTGCAAGCTCAGAGAGCACCAAGGACCCCCCATTTCAACCCCAATATTCCCCTTCGTTAATATCTTAACGATTGCAGTGATTCACTTTGCAATTGTGGCAAGAAAAGTGGTAAAATGGGGCAAAACTCACTTAACAACTGTCTCGCTTAGCGATGAGATTTTGGGCTCCGTTGTGTTGGTAAGTTGAGGACTACCTGTCAGTGTTTGGTCTTAGGCCTAGAAATGCTTCTTGGGGGGAAAAAAACTATCATTTGAGCCCAGTTCCTAGCACAGCCGTGCAGACTGCATGGTTACAGCAGAGAGGCACCGCACAAAGTATGTGTCCTCCTCCCCAAGAGCCACACCAGCTTCCCAGCCCGGTTTCCAGTGTGTGATTCCCTGATGCAAGGAGGTCCTGGAAGGAATCCCAACAGGCTCTCAGTTACGCATGTTCTCCTGGATCCAGTTCAGGTAGTGAACCACTCTCGTGTAAACGCCCGGCGTGTTTTTCGCCGCACAACCCACGCCCCAGCTGATGATGCCGATTAACTTCATGCGGCCCTCGTGCAGACAAACCAGGGGGCCTCCCGAATCGCCCTGCGGGAGGAGAGAAATCGGAGAAGGGGCGAGTGAGAGGCAATAGGGCCTAGCTTTCTTTTCTGGTGGAAAGACCATTCGGAAAGACCATTCAAGGTTACAATGGTACTTAAGAAGGTGACTCACGTTTTTCACACACACAACTCTTGCGGCATCCCCGGGGACATGTGATCCAAATGTGGATAGCAATAGCAACAGCAGCAGTACCTAGACTTATATACTGCTTCACAGTGCTTTACAGCCCTCTCTAAGCAGTTTGCAGAGTCAGTATATTTGCCCCCAACAATCTGGGTCCTCATTTTACCGACCTCGGAAGGACGGAGGCTGAGTCAGCCTTGAGCCCGATGAGATTCGAACTGCCGAACTGCTGGCAGCTGGCAGTCAGCGGAAGTAGCCTGCAGTACTGTCTTCTAACCACTACGCCTCCATAGTTCTTGGTGGCCACTGGCAGGTATTTGTGACAGTTGTAATGCCCAGGGATCCTGTGATCGCCATTTGCCACCTTCTGACACGTAAAGTCAATGGGGAAGGCAGATTCAAAAAACAGCTATGTTATTAACTAAACGATTGTGATGATTCCCTTAATAACTGTGTCAGGGTGGTAAAATGGGGCAAAATTCACTTAACAACTGTCTTGCTTAACAACAGAAATTTTGGGCTTAGTTGTGATCATAAGCTGGGGACTGCCTGCATTGTGAGTGTCTAAAGCATCACAAACCTCTTCTTGTTCTGAAAGAGTTACTTCCAGAAATGGAAGTAGGCAATCTTGGCTCTTTTATGACTCAGGAATTCTGGGAGTTGAAGTCCACGAGTTATAAAAGAGCCAAGGTTGCTTACCCCTGCCCCAGAACACCTGACTCCACATGTTCCAGGAGAAAAAAAAGAAATTCTGTTCAGTCTTCAGCATCCCTGGTACCTGGTTATCTACGCTCAGAAGATGCTGGGCCTTCAGACCGATCCCACAAGGTGATTCTTAACATTTTGGATGTTACCTGGCAGGCGTCATGGAGGTGTCGGGTATCTCCTGCACACAACATGTTCTCGGTGACCGTCCTTTTGGCAAGTCGTGCAGATGTACACAAGCTGTCTGGATAGAGCCTCACGTGTCCTTCCTTTAAACGTTCTGAGTGGAAAGGAGAAGCTGTTTGGGAAAAAGGAATATTGTGAAGAGAGGGGAAAAGATTCTTCTGGATCATAAATGTTGGGCTTCGTACAATTTGCTCGACCTTCATTCTTGGTTCACAAAATGCAAGCGCCTTCAGATGATATCGAATACTCAAAGATACTATATTATGACGATGTAAACAGCAGGCTGTCTGAGACCAAGTCAAGAAAACAACATTTCCCAGACCATGTTGATCCACAAGTAACTCTTGGAATCTAGTCTAGAGTGCTGTGTGAATGCAGATCCGATTTAACTGAAGCACGGGGCTTCCTTTTGTGGCTTGACTAGGTTGTAAATTGAGGACTACATGTAAAACCGTGTGCAAGCTTTCCAGCAGCCAGGAAGCAAAAGACAACTATCCTACCCTGTTCAAAACAATACTCTTTAATTTTTTTTCCTCCGCTCTCCTAGCTTAAACTCAGCATCGGACTAAGAGAATAAATTGAAGTGATTAGATGGAAGGGATTAAAGGACATCCGGGAACATCCAGAGAGAGAAAACAGCCTCTGGGTTCTGCCATCAGACAAATTATTCTTCCATGCCAAAAAAAAAAAAAAGAAGATAAGAAATCCATAAATATAAAAAGGTAGATGCTGTGGAATTGGGCAAAACGTAGGCGTACGGCCATGTTCTCCGAGCAGCACCCCCCATACCATTGTCCACAATGCCTTCCACTTTAAGAGAGGGGGCAAGCGTCTGCCTGGAAGGCCGAAGCAAAAATGGCGAGGTATATTAAAGACGCTGTGGGAAAATTCAGTTCTTTTGCATACAAAAAAGCTATTGCAGAATCCAATCTGGGTCGGTCACTGGGATCAGAGGTTTTGCTGGAGCCTCTCTTCAGGGAACTTCTCTCTAGTCGAGTGTGCTTTGTGTGCTGTTCTGCGTGTGGTATTTATATGGGGCCTGCTGTATGTGGCTTTTTAGATGTTGAGTAGGGTGTTGATGGCTGGCTATTAAGTCGTTGGCTGTGGGTTGCTTGTGCTGCCAAGCCTTTGCCTCCTAAGTATTTGATAAGCTGGTGATAACTCAACATTCCTGTTGACTTGAGGAGGGGCCTGTTTCTCAGGCTTCCCTGGCTGTTTTTGTGCCTGCTCGTCAAACAATCTTAGTAGCTGCGACATTGAAGTATGTCCTTGTTCACTGCAGCGTGAGGCTATCAAGGAGTTTGGGTCTCCTCGTCCGACCGCTCACTTGTGTTCTTGCAATCGGGTCGTTAGCTTCCTCCCTGGCTGTCCTACATAGTTACAGGAGCGATCAGAAGCTCGGAAGGCGAAGTCTCTGATCCCCAGTGACTGACCCAGATTGGATCCTGCAACATTATCCTGGGACACGTAGATGCACCTTCGTTCAAAAAAAGCGATTGCTCGGTGTTTGGAGCTTTGCATCTGGCCATCTCCAAAGCCCTTTCCCTGAGCACTGGGGCCAGGTGTGCTGCCACAATCACAGCACAGGGATTTGAGAAGAAGGAGAATTCTAGGAGGAGAAGGTTATGATTTGAGGATGTGATGTGCTCTAACAGAAAGCAGATACTTTGGGATGTAAACACGGTCTAGCCATATCAGCTGATTAGCAACTGGATAGGCATGTAAGTCACAGACATGACTGCTGCATCCAATTCAGCAGAAGGAAGCTGTTTGTTTAGGGAGGGTAGAATATAACAGATGTCTTTTTTCCACCATGAATTGACCTAGCTCATTTTCAGCAAAGAGGAGAGCTCTCTAGAGATTCCATCCCCCACGAGGCTGGTCTCAGACATTTCTCAACAAGACTCTCTTTTCCCCAAAGCCCAGTATTGCTGGAAACAGACCGGACTTTTTTAAAATTGTGGTTTTTTATTTCCCCCCTCCCCCTAAAACAGGGGTGTCTAATCTTGGCAACTTTAAGACTGATGGACTTCAATGCCCAGAATTCCCCAGCCAACATGAGAACACCCAGGCCCTCTTTCCAGCAAAGGTCAATTCTGCCCTAGAAATCCAGTAATACAATGTCCGGCGCTCTGTCTGTCCAGAAGCTTCTGCAGCCAGATTGTCCTCCGGCCCTCAGTGCCGGTGAAAGAGATCTTCACATACCCATTTCGTGCTTGCCGTAGCCGGACACCTCACACTCCGTCCAGTCGGGCAGCTGGAGTCCAGCTTCGGGGAGACAAACGGGACGGACGCTGTCAGTTTCTGTGGCACACTTTTCGGAATGTTCTTTCAACTTCAGCAGGGCTGTCAAAACAGAGAGAAAAAGAGAGAGGGAGAGGGAGAGGGAGGGAGGGAGGGAGAGAGAGAGAGAGAGAGAGAGGCACATGAGAACCAGAATTCAGAATAACAGAAGGGTCTTTAAAGGTCTTCTAGTCCAACCCGTTTGAGCAGGAGATCAGTCAGAAGCGGATCTCCTCCAGGCCGAGAGGGAGGCAGGAAAAAGGCTTACCAATGTCATTATCCAAAGTCCTGGAGTTGTGCTTCTCGTGTGTAATATATCTCTCTACTTGGAAAACCTGTTCTGTGTCTGATGATTTCACGCGGAACGTCCGACCCAGGACGACTTTGATGCGTTGGGGATCGATGCTCCTGTATAGAAAGCCACAGGTGAGGGCCAGCTTCCAGGGGCAAACTTCCTTCCCTCCAAATGCAACGCTCTCCTTTCTCTTCCCAATAGGAATCATGAGCAGAGGGTTGGGCTAGAAGACCTCCAAGGTCCCTTCCAGCCCTATTGTTCTAAGTTCTACGGTGGGAGGGCAGGCAAAGGCGGGGGTGGGTGGGTAGCTTAGGACAGCAGTCGTGAACAGGAGCTCAAAGATTTTAGTTCAGGAGAAGACAAACCCCTTGGAGAAGGGCCTGTGCTCAGCGTTGGCCATCCTCAAGGAGCTTCCATGGAAAAGCTGAGCCTACCCAACATGTGAGAAAGGGGAAGGGTTTGTTCTAAAACGAGGTAAGTTATGTGGGATATCTGGGGAATAAGAAACAATCCCACAGTGAATCTGGATTCCAAAATACGATAGTCTAGCAGTGTTTCTCAACCTTGACAATTTTAAGGCATGTGGACTTCAACTCCCAGAATTCCACAGCCAGCAATGCTTCCACATGCCTTAAAATTGTCAAGGTTGAGAAACACTGGTCTAAGGACTTTCACTTAAAAATCATCCTGTTCTTTCCATTTGCTAATAGTGCCAGAAATAGCATACATTTTGGCTGCAAAACCCCCCACAGCAAAAGGAGAAAGCTCTCAATGTGTTGACCTCCATTGACTGCTCGGGTTTTTACAGCTGTTGAGTGAAAACAGTTTCCATAAGGTGTAAACCCAGCCCCCTGTGGTTACAACAAACCATGGCTTATATAAACCACGGCTTGGTGTGATAAGTCGGCTTAGATAATATCTCTGCAGAATAGTTGGGTGGGAACAAGCGTCAATGTCTCTGCAGATGATCCAGGAGGACTTTTTTTTTTTATGTTCTGAGGAAGTTACATCCTGCAGTCAAATGTACCTACAACAGCCCAACACATCCTCCTCTGTTCTGTGTACTTTCCAGGGCTTTTATTTATTTATTTACTTATTTATTTATTAAACGAATTGTCCGCCTCTCTTACCACAGGGTAACACAGGTTTGAAAGATGCTGGCAATATTTTGACAAAGCAAATGCAAAAACTGGAGGGATTCCAGAGTTGGAGGATGATGGAGGTGCTTGCAAACTCTTGGGCAGCTTTAAATCACAGTCAGAAGGAAAGGGGGGGGGGGAGAAATGCAACTTGAAGTTTCTTTGGAACCCCTGATCGTTCCACAGCTTCCTGGGACATAACCTCCCCCTTGTGAAGATTTTGCAAGAAGAAGAAGCTTTAATTTTCTTGCATGCAAGAGAAGATCCCAGATCAGTTCCTTGGAGCCACCGGGAAATAGCAAGAATCCCTGCCAAACAGCTGTGAAGACTGAGCAAGTCAAAGGATCTTGGTTAGAGGTTTTGGTCCTCTGTGCCTAAAGCAGCAATTCTCCTCTGCTCTCAAGGAATTTGCTTCCTAGCCAAAGTCTAGAGCGTGAGTCACAGGCTGATTTCTTACCCTTTTGGAAAGCAGTGAGCAGCTGAGAGGACCCAGCAGGAATTGATGAGGATCCCACCACACTGATAACCTTCTGCACCTCGGTTGGTCACAAAAATGCCCGCCTGCCACGGGTGGGACTCAATATATGAATATGCACCTCCTTTGATCTGGATCTCAGCCACTTTGTGCTTCCTCAGTCCACAAGTGGCTGCATATGGGAAGGAAGGAGCCAAGGAATATGATTTAGAGGTGACAAAGCAGTGAAAATCAACATCTGTTTGCCATCACTCTAGAAGCCTGGCATTTGGACAAATGAGCCATCAGTAGACACGGAAACAACATCTACATACTGTGCAAAAGAGACAGTCGACAAGTCAAAAAGGGAACAAGAAGACCAAAACACCTCTACACCAGCGTGCTCCACAGAGGCTGGATGTAGTCAGTATAAGATGGGCAGACTGTAGGCTGCAAAATGTTGCTTAGCCCCTATTTCCCATTTTGCTCATGCCAGCAGGGAATGTTAGGAATTGTGGTTCAGCCACATCTTGAGATCCATTAGTTCTCCATTCCCAGCATAAGGTTTTGGCCATAATCCCCGTGAAGAAGAATCTCAGATAAATCAGAGAAAGGACCCACTTACAGCAGATTGGCACATCACAATGTTCCCATTTGGTCACACCATTCTTGAATGTATGACACCATGGCTGAGTGTCATTGTCAGGGTTCCTGTAACACACAAGAAGTGGGAAGGTTGGGAAGACTGTAGTCCCCGGTTGTTTAAGTGCAGTTGTTAAATTAGTAACACGATTAGTATTTAGTTTAAGTATTCAAAGAGTATTTAGTTTTAATGGTATAATGAAGGTTTATATGTTTATTTTTGTGTTCTAGGATAAAGAAAGAGGGAGAGATCAGATTTTATATTGTAGGTATAGATATTCAAAGAAAGTAATGTTTAAATTTGTGTTTTGGAGGGAGTTTATACAGAATGATGGATAATAATATAAGTATGATACTAGAAAATGTTTAGAGTATATTATAATGTGTTTAATGATTGCAATTATTATTTTTTAGAGAAGATAACCTATTTAATTTAATGTATTTAGATTTGTTTAGGATTTATATGCGTTTTAAGTTTTTCTTTTCTTTTTCTGAAAAATTTTAATTAAGCCTGTACTCAGCTCTGGGAAGGTTGGGGGAGGGTATGGGAGGGTGGGGGGGTTTGGGGAGGGGATTTGTTTTGTAAAATTTAAAAAACTTTCAATAAAAAAAAATAAGATAAAAAAAAATAAAAAAGGAAAAAAAATAATAAAAACAAAAACAAAAAAAATAAAAATTAGTAACACGATTCTTAAGTGAATCTGACTTCCCCATTGACTTTGCTTGTCAGAAGGTTGCAAAAGGTAATCGCAGGACTCCAAGATACTGCAACTGTCGTAAGTACATGCCAGTTGCCAAGCATTCAAATAAGTCAAAGAAATATCTCCAAGTTTCCAACTCAGGACAAGGCAGAACCACCCCCATCTGGCCCAAACCTCACCCACTGTGGCCCTCCTGCTGCCAAAGAATATTCCACAGGGATTCCATCATTCAAAGCCCACTTAGTTGAGTTGGGTAGCGATAGAAATTGAATAAATACATTTCTGGTTCACCTGCAGTAGTTGTGGCTGCTGAGGCCTAGTTGATGGGCATCGGGATGAAAGGCGTTGTAAACTTTCTTGTCAAGGATGTGGGAGTCCCATCTCAGGCAGGTCACCCCAGACGCTGTTTGGTGATGGCCGCCCCGATAGTCAGTGCCTCTTCCCAAAACACAGGAATGTTTTTCTTTGGCAAACGATAGGAAAAGGGATAGGTTTGATAGGGAAAGTCCCATTGTCTCCTCCATTAGCTTGGAGACCCCCCTTCTATTGATGTTGGGGAGTATTGCCCCAGGCTGAATATAGGGAAAGATCCGGTCAGATGCAGGCTACCAGATACACGTAGAGTTCAAGCAAACAACTTTAATGTATTCTGCCGATAATACAGGAATCTCCCCAGACTGGTAGCCTTCGCTTGGGAATAGATAATGTTCCACGGAGCTTAGGGGATGTCAGCTTTGAATCTTTTATGATCCCAGGCTAGTTCCCGTCTTGAGCCTTCCTCCCTGCCTGGCTGGGCACTTCCCAACAGGTCCCCCGCTGAAGTAGGGGCCAATACTTGAATGATGAGAGGGATCCTAACTGTTCATACAAAGCAGCAAAATACATTTTTAAAAATATAATCCTGGAGAGATTATTATAGCGATGGGTGTCTGGGCAACCATAAAGCCCTGAAAAGTTCAATTTGCCCACTGCTAGAGCAAAAGCATCTGGAGGCAATGCACATCTTTTCAACAGGGATCTTTAGTAAGCAACTACAAATTGCCCAGAAAGTTATCAAGTTGGCCTGATATTACAGTAAGATGCTAATTTTTTAAAAAAGGTAAAGGTTTCCCCTGTCCAGTCATGTCCAACTCTAGGGTACAATGCTCATCTCCATTTTCTAGCCAAGCCTTGTCCGAAGATGCTTCTAGGGTCATGTGGCCAGTATGACTATACACTGAGGTGCAGGGAAAGCTGTGACCTTCCCACCAAAATGGTACCTATTTATCTACTCGCATTTACATGCTTTCAAACTACTAGGTGGCAGGAGCTGAAGCTAGTGACGGGAGCTCACCCCATCATGCAGTGCTTGGGTCTCAAACTGCCAAACATCCGGTTGACCAGCCAGGCCACTGCACATCCAAAATGCTAATGGCACCAAACAAATACAGAGCACTACATGTGTATGGGTATGTCTATGTATGCAGACATACATACATACATATATACAAATACAGATATATGTAAATATGTGTATAAATAAATTACAACAGGGGTTTTTTTTGGAGTTGGGAAATAGCCTAAAAGAGGCATATAAGTCCTAAAAACAGGTCCATCTGAAAATTCCTCAGTTCCCCAACCTGCCCAGCCTATATATGTATCATGAGCCATATTATACCCCTCCACTCATGACTTTACCAATCATTTAGTAAGCCATGAATAAATAAAACACGGAGTAACAAATCTCACTTTTAGCCAGCTTAGGAACTGCGTCCTCTCGACTTTTTCGGTAAACAACAATAAAAGGGTTTGAACTTACGGTTGGCACAGGATGTAATGCTGCAATATTCCCAGACGTACATATTTTTTTTAAGGACATGGCACCAGGGTTTTGAGCTTTTATCTGGATTTCTAAAGAAGACAATGATAGAATATTCAGGATTGTGAGTTTATTGGAGGGAAGGAGGGAGGAAAGATCCTGGAATTAATAATGCATAAGAAAGTAATTCATAAGGAATATGCCAAAGAAAACATAATATCCTGGTGTTGTATCATTTCCACTAGCTTCCAAGGCTTCTCTTTTCTTAATTAAAACACCTTTACTAATTTCTAAACCTGTTCATAAATCAGAGATTTATCTTAGCATTTTTCTGTCCAATGTATTTAATTCCAAGAATACATTTTTGTCACACTTAATACTTTTTAATAAGACTAGTTCGTCAGAAAAGATGCTACCAAACTCCTGATTTTTAGCTCTTGTAGACCAGCGTTTCTCAACCAAGGCAACTTTAAACTGTATGCACTTCAACTCCCAGAATCCCCTAGCCAGCCATGGAACTTGAGGAGCTGCAGAGTGGCCTGAAGTCCTCACAGCTTAATGTTCCCCAAAGACTGAGAAATACAGCTATAAAACATCTAGTTCCCCTCCAAAGTATGCATGATACGAGGAAGGAGAAGTCAGACAAAGCAAGTTACTGGATTCGACTTCTTACCGGCAATAATTGTGATCACCAAGCCCCAACAGCAAGGCGTCTGGACGATCTGCGTGGAATCTCTTAAAGCGCAAGGCTTTGGTCTTCCAGTTCACACATTCTGCACCACTCTCCGTGGTGCTCCAGGTCCCCCTGTATGTGTCCCCTATATCCTGGTAACACACAGCTCTGGTATCTGAAGAGGGGGAGAAGGAACATTCCCCTGAGTCTCTTTCAAACTGCCTCTGAAGAACTCTCCACGCACCTTCTGGAGCTAGGGCAGGAAACTAGACTGAAGAGCAGGGGTCTCCAAATTGGGCAACTTTTAAGACCTTCAACTCCCAAAATTCCTGAGTCAGCATAGCTGCAGAGCAGTATTTCTCAATCTTGGCAACTTTAAGATGAGTGGGTGTCAACTCTCCAGCGTGCTTGAGGGGAACTCTGGGAGTTGCTGTCCACCCATTTTAAAGTGGCCAAGGTTGAGAAGCACAGCTGTAGAGCATGCATGAAACAGATCCCACTCTGCAATTGTCCTTGCTTTTTTTAAAGCATGTGTCCCTTGAAGGGAAGCAATAGATTCGCAGTTGGAGTCTGAGGTAGGCCTTCTTCTTCTTCTTCTTCTTCTTCTTCTTCTTCTTCTTCTTCTTCTTCTCCTTCTCCTTCTCCTTCTCCTTCTCCTTCTCCTTCTTCTTCTTCCTCCTCCTCCTCCTCCTCCTCCTCCTCCTCCTCTTCTTCTTCCTCTTCTTCTTCTTCTTCTTCTTCTTCTTCTTCTCTTGAAGGCTAGCACCAACAACTGGTAGAACGTTGTGGCCGTGGACAGACCACACATTAGATTTCTACAAGCTCTTCATGCTTGGTCACTTTTAACTGTTGAAATTGGATCTGATCTGGAGCAGGCGGCTGCTATTAGGTGTATTTACACTGAGTGCTGCACATATAGAAATGGAGTCTGCAAAGCTAGAGGGAGGGACACAGCACAGTGAGTCTTCCTAGATGACTCACTGTAGGAGATGACCAGGCTGAGCCCGAGGGAGGGGTCATGCCCATCATCCATCCCAAGTCCCTTCATGACCACAAGAGATCTAAGTCCAGCCCACCTTGAATTCCACTGACCCTTATCCATGGCTAAATTGCTTTGACCATTAATGCTTCAGATCCTTGTGGAAAGCGTTAGCATGCAATAAACTTTTATATTCATTTGAACTGCCTGAATCTCCTGATTTCCTGCACTGCCCGAGGCACCCCTCAGTTCATCCTCCCGTCACATACTCACCAATTTCACAGAACTTCCCCGAGAAGCCTGGGGGGCAGAAGCAAATGAAAAGGTTGGGGGAGTACAAGGCTTGCTGGCAGCGGCCCCCATGGAGGCAAAGTGGCTTTATGCATCCTGTGGGACAGAAAATAACAGCCCCTTAATTTCCCCCTTCCATGACCTGGCTGTCTTCCCTTCCTTGGGGAAGGAAGAGAACCAGGATGCAAAGGCAGAACAACTGGTTTTTTTATGCAGAGAAGCTTTCCAGTCCAGTTTCCAGTCATTCCCGCTACAAAGGATTGCAACGAACAGCTGTTGGAAATGGTTTTCTCCCAGCCCAACTTCCTTCCTGGAACTCACCTTTGACAGGTACTGCATGGCAGAAGATGCCACTGTTCTCACACCGACAATATTCCGTTCTCCCTTTGACTCGGCGGAGCCAACTCTCCTTCTGATTGTAGGTCTGTTTGGTGAATAGGTCTCTGCATCTGCCTGTAATCAAGAGACAGGAAGTCCTTCCCAGTTCTGCCTTTCCCCTCACCACTGTGTGTGCAGCCCAGAACAATCTACAACCTTTATCAACTCTCCTCCTCCAAGCCTCATTTTTCCCCCAAAAGTTTTCTCCTTCCAAAGATTTGGCAAGCCCCTCAAACCTCGATGGAGAAGCATTCTCTGCAGTGCCAGTTCACAACCTGTTTATTTGCTTGGGCAGCAGAAGTTGTTTTTATAAAGCTGGTTGACCTGAGTGAACAATCGTGTGCTTTTCCTGCATTTATCCCGCCGCGATTGATGTGGTTTTATTATTGGGATGGTTTATTGTTTTTATGGTATTTCCTACACCAGCCTGGCATTCTATGAGGAAAGGCAGATACATGCTTATTTTAACACAAAGGAAAGAGCGAAGGGTCGTGCCATATCTGAAAGCAACACACTTGTCAGATTAGTCTGTAGGCGCAAAGCCTGGCTAACCCCTAGCCCTCTTTTTCAAAATGTGTGAATCTCCTGGCTCTCTTGAGGAGCCCTAAGAATCTTCCCCAAAATCTTGTAGAGGCACAGAAGCTGCAGAGAGAGGACTGGATTTCTACTCCTGTTTTGGAGGATCCATGCAGGCAGCTCCTTGTTGTTCATGGAATCTGTAGATATTTGCAAATGCACTGAACTCCCATCCCCCCCCCCCACTTCCTCAGCATTTACTCTTTGGTTACTCCATCCCTTGGGCGCTCAGCCATCTTCTTCCTATTTAGAACACAGAATAATAAATAGAGTTGGAAGGGACCATGGAGGTCTTCTCATCCGACTCCCTTCTCAAGGCAGGAGCCTTAAACCATCCCAATCAAATGCAAAAGTACAGCATAGGTGGCACCATGCTCAATAATAGTAACTGTGAGAGGGACCTCGGAGTCCTAGTAGACAATCACTTAAATATGAGCCAGCAGTGTGCTGCAGCTGCCAAAAAGGCCAACACAGTGCTAGGCTGCATTAACAGAGGGATAGAATCAAGATCACGTGAAGTATTAATACCACTCTTCAATGCCTTTGTAAGGCCACACTTGGAATACTGCATCCAGTTTTGGTCACCACGATGTAAAAAAAGATGTTGAGACTCTAGAAAGAGTACAGAGAAGAGCAACAAAGATGATTAGGGGACTGAGGCTAAAACATATAAGGAACGGTTGCTAGAATTGGGTATGTCTAGTTTAACGAAGAGAAGGACAAGGGGGGACATGATAGCAGTATTCCAATATCTCAGGGGCTGCCATAAAGAAGAGGAATTAAGCTATTTTCCAAAGCACCTGAAGGCAGGACAAGAAGCAACGGGTGGAAACTAATCAAGTAGAGAAGCAACCTAGAACTAAGGAGAAACTTCCTGACAGTGAGAACAATTAATCAGTGGAACAGCTTGCCTCCAGAAGCAGTAAATGCTCCAACACTGGAAGTTTTTAAGAAGAGACTGGACAGCCATTTGTCCGAAATGGTGTAGGGTTTCCTGCCTGAGCAGGGGGTTGGACTAGATGACCTCCAAGGTCCCTTCCAACTTTACTATTATTATTATTAAAACCTCCCAATTTCAGGAGGCCAGCTGTTCCACTCGTTAATTGTTCTCACTGTCAGGAAATTTCTCTTTAGTTCCAGGTTGGGTCTCTTTAAAGAGTTTGTCTGAGAGACAGAAGGTTGACGTGGAAAACATCCATAGTCTCCTCCAATGGGCGCCTTACCTCTTCTTAGTTGACCTTCTCGGCCACTGTGGATAACACGTACAAACAGCTCCTAGAAAGAGAGAAGGAACAACCCAAATAATCAAGAATAGAAAGTTGATTAGACCCCAAGGTTTAGGAAAGTGGGAACCCTGGACCATCTTCTAGTCCAACCTCCTGCTCAAGCAGGAGATCCTAAATCAGGGGTAGGCAACCTTGGCTCTTTTATGACTCATGGACTTCAACTCCCAAGTTGACTCAAGTCCATGAGTCATAAAAGAGCCGAGGTTGCCTACCCCCTGCCCTATACCATTTCAAACAAAAGATTGTCCTATCTCTTCTTGAAAACCTCCAGTGACGAGCGCCCACGACTTTTGAAGGCAAGCTGTTCCACTGATTAATTCTTCTCATTAATCTTTTCTCATAGTACTACTCATTATCATAGTTCTCATTACTCTTAGGACAACCTGCTTGAGTCTTTGGAAGAACAGTGTTTCATAAACCAGGGTGTCTGTAGACTGTGTAGGTGCATCACAATGTGCGACATGCAAAACCCCAGTCAAGCCATGCTTTTTTGTGCAGATGCACAAGAGGGACAGAGTGTGTACGAGGTCACCATGGGCACCACCTTCGGATAATGACCCTACCTTTACCATTCTTTTCCTTGGATGCTGCAGCTTAGAGATACAACTAGTGAATGAAAAAGAAATGAAGGCAGTTTTTTTTATTCTGACAGTAGAAATGCTAAGAGTGAAAAGCGGCAGGAATATTTCATTAGGGGACTGGAGGCTAAAACATACAAGGAACAGTTGCTGGAATTGGGTATGTCTAGTTTAATGAAGAGAAGGACGAGGGGGGACATGATAGCAATGTTCCAATATCTCAGGGGCTGCCATAAAGAAGAGGGAGTCAAGCTATTCTCCAGAGCACCTGAAGGCAGGACAAGAAGCAACAGATGGAAACTCACCAAGGAGAGAAGCAACCTGGAACTAAGGAGAAACTTCCTGACAGTTAGAACAATTAACCAGTGGAACAACCTGCCTCCAGAAGCTGCGAATGATCCAACATTGGAAGTTTTTAAGAAGAGACCGGACAGCCGTCTGTCTGAAATGGTATAGGGTTTCCTGCCTGAGCAGGGGGTTGGACTCGATGACCTCCAAGGTCCCTTCCAACTTTATTATTATTATTATCATCATCATCATCATCATCATCATCATCATCATCATCAAGCTGAGATGATAGTGGCCTCCCAGTACTTGAGGGGCTGTCACAAAGAAGAGAACATCAACCTCTTCTCCAAAGCCCCTGAAGGGAGAACAAGAAGCAACGGATGGAAACTTATCAAGGAGAGAAACAACCTAGAATTAGGGAGAAATTTCCCACCAGTGAGAACAATTAACCAGTGGAACAGCTTGCCTCTGGAAGTTGTGAGTGCTCCATCAGTGCAGGCGTTTAAGAAGAGACTGGACAACCATCTGTCTGAAAAGTTATAAGTTTTCCTGCTTGAGCAGAGGGTTGGACTAGAAGACCTCCAAGGTCCCTTCCAACTCTGTTTTTCGATTCTGCTATTCTGTTAAGAGCCTTCCTTTTTAGAAAGCTCTTTGTGACTGGGCTTTGATCCAGCTCAGAGATTTGCTGAACTGGATAATTCTCTCATCATTCTTCCTTTTGTATCTTTCAAAGGTCTAAGCCTGCCTGCAGAAAAGATCTTACTTCTCAGCTCTGTGAACTTGGCAGTGAGCCTTTTTGTTCCAAGAACCGAGTAAATATCCTTTTGATCAGTGACACCACTCCAGCCAAGCTTAGAAAACAAACCCCATCTGTTTTGTGACGAGTCCATAAAGCCACACTCAGCTGCCCAGCAAAGCCGGAGAAAAACACACCGATGGGCGCGCTGCTGGCCTCTTACCTGGCACTGAAGCACGGTGATGGCCCCTGCCAGGAGGAAGAAGAGAAGAGTCTGTCTCAGGCCCATTTTATTCCCTTTCAGCAAGCAAGGAAACCCCTGAAAGACAACCGAGGAGAGACGTTAGCATAAGGAGGCGACCGAAGGGTGCAGACTCAATGCAAGGCAGGGCTGGGGAGGGCAAGCAAAGCACACATAAGCCAGAGGCATAATGGGAACAGATGGCTGGGGGAGGATTTCTCCTGAGTCAGCTAAAGATTGAGCAGCAGCAGCTGCACAACAGCACCATGGACACCAGTTTAAGGCAGCTAGGCTGATCTGCTCACGCAGCGTATCTCCATCCCATAATATTGCCCCAGATCTGCTGTTTCCTTTCTGGTCCCTGCCTCCTCCAAGTGTTGAAAGTAGCTTCTTTGGTCTGAAAACGGGGTTGTGGTTTTGGCTTTCTGTTGGTCTGGGTCACTGGGCCTTCACTTCTGTGACTCATTCATCCCAGCCATAACAGACTTCCAAGGTCTTTAAGTCAGCTCCCCAAACTAAACCTTTTCTGGTCCTGAAGGAGCACGGGGCCGAATTTGGACTGTCCCACCGTCTTCATGTCCCTGCAGTAGTTGCCCAGGGCAAACTTTATCTTTCCTCGTGCTCAGTTTCCCCGATTTGTAAATCATCTTCTGTAGAAGTCCTCTTACAGTTTTGCACGGTACGTACCAAGGTATAATCCAGTGTTTCCCAAACTTGACAATTTTAAGGCATGAAGACTTCAACTCCCAGAATTCCACAGCCAGCAACGCTGGCTGTGGCATTCTGGGAGTTGAAGTCCTCATGCCTTAAAATTGTCAAGTTTGGGAAACACTGGTATAATCAAGCCACACGCCGAAGAAATGTTGCTGGGACCAACTGGGAAGCAGAGGGATGGCAGATAAATGAGTCACTTCGCCAGAACAGAGAAAGAGATAAAAATAAGAATGGGTTTCGAGCAAAAGTAAACTAAGTGTAAATTAACCATTTCAGAGCTTCCCAAAAAAGTCAAATAGCAGGAGAGGGAAAAACAGTCCCAGGATTTTGAATTCTCCATTGTTCAACATCAAAGGTGCAAAGTGCTCTGGATGAAGCTGCAGTTGGTCTGAAGGACTACCAACGGCTGTTCTCCCAAAAGGAGAGTGGATGAAGCCAGGACAAACGTTAATGTGGAATTAACCACCTATAAGATAGGTTCTACTGAGTGGTGTGGTGGCATAGTGGTGAAGACTCTTGCTTCCCACTCGGAAGGTTGAGAGTTCGATCCTAGGTAGCAACAGATGTTCTTGTCTCCTAGGGTGCAGACCAGATTTGGCAGCTCCACTTAGGATTGTGTGAAAGAGTCTGGCTGTGTTCAACTTTTCTGATGACAAAGTAGCATGCCTGTCCCGTGTGGATTTGGAGAGCCAAGAAAGCGTTTCTCTTTTAGCTTAAAGTTCCATAATTGTACCATAATATGCTAGTGGGTGAAAAGGCAGATTTGCAGTGAGCATTTTGCTATGTTCGTGCATATGCATTTTTTTTTTTTGTATATATAGCATGGGAAGGAAGCCACGAGAAAGAAGATCGACCCAAGGACCTTTGACGCAATGTACAGCAGAGCAGAGCAAGACATGAACTTGCTGTTCCCCTGGTCGGGCACAACATTTCACAACCCATAAGCCAACAAAGCTTTTGTCTCACCGTGGCGGCCACCCCCATGATCTTTTAGACACCCCTGTAAAGCAGGACAGTTCCATTCCTTCATCCTGGGTTTAGCTCTCTTCTCTCTTGTAGCTGGAAAATGGCAAGACTCAAGGGCAGGGGTCTTCAAACTTGGCCCTTTGATGACTTGTGGACTTCAACTCCCAGAATTCCTCAGCCAGGCACGCGTGCCTGGCTGAGGAATTCTGGGAGTTGAAGTCCATAAGTCTTCAAAGGGCCAAGTTCGAAGACCCCTGCTCAAGGGAATTCCAAGGTAGAGAAGTCTTTGAAGATCTCCCCACTGGCTGTGATTGTTGAATGATAACACCCTTATGGACCCCATCTTCGCTCTTTTGACCATGCCCTGGGGACACCCCTACTCTCATCTAACTACAAATAGTCCACAACTTACAATTGAGCCCCCCATTTCCAATGCTAAGCAAGGCAGTTGTTAAGCAGCTTCTGCCCTGTTTTGTGGCCTTTCTTGCCCCAGCGATTAAGGAAATCACTGCAGTAGTTCAGCTAGCAACTTGGATCTTGTGTGAATCCGGCTTCCCCATTGACTTTGCTTGTCAAGAAGGTTGCAAAAGGTGATCCCAGGACGCTGCGACCATCTTAAATACAAGCCAGTTCCCAAATGTCCGGATTTTGATCAAGTGACGGTGGGGAGGCTGCAAGGGGGGGGGGTAAGTGTGAAAAACCACCATTGCCATTGTAATATCGAAGAGTCACTAAACGAAAGGTTGCAAATGGGGGACTGCCTAGAAGTCACGTGAACAGGTCTTCAAGGGCAGCAGTTTGCATTTCGCCTCCCTTGCCTGCTTGTGTTTTGGAAGGATGACGCATGGGAGAGAAATTAACAAAGAAAATAAGAAAAAGGGACCGATGGTTTGGCACTGAATCCAGTTGCTCTGAAAAACAAGCCAGCTCAGGAACCTCAAAGGAAAGCTGTTTTGGATGAATGAAGAAGAGCCCAGAGAAGGATTGGGGTGGGGTGAATGCGGTTAGACAAGTATCCCACTTGATGCAAAAGCCCAGAAAGATGGCATTTTCTTACAGTACATTCATAAACTGAAGGAGCTTTAAGACTCTTCGGCTGTGTTAAGCCCAAGGTTAAGGAGACCTCAAGCCCCCCGTTTGCAAAATATCCTGTGCTCAGAAAGCAACCAACAGGCTAATTTAACAGGCTGGGTAGGTTAACAGAAATAACAGAAGAATAGATTGGAAGGGACCTTGGAGATCTTCTAGTTCAGCCCCCTTAGTTAGACACATCGGGCTGTGCCAGGAATAACCTAGCCCTGTTCTGTCTGAGCAGGTGATGCAAATCCAGCCTTTTGGTTTTTTTTTGGGGGGGGGGCGCAAAGGCCAACATGCAACAGTCTTCCCAGAGCAACAAATTCGGGATTTAGACCAAAACAGAGGCAGCCCCGGGCTGGATTCTGTGGTGCCAGTGAAGGACAAGTGATGTCCTTAGGCCACGTTGGCCAATGGCGCCACCTCCCGCCAATGGGAAGATTCGCATCGGCAAATTGAGAAATGGTGGCTTTGGCACCCTAAGCCAGGGTTAACTCAAACTGTCCAACTTTGGGGACTTTAAGACATGTGGGCTTCAACTCCTAGAATTCCCCAGCCAGCGTGGTCATCTAGTTCTGGAAGGGCAAGACCTAAATGTTACTCTGTTGACTTTCTCCATTCATAATCGGATAGAACTTTTTGACATATGTCTGGTAGCAAAATCCGAAAGTGATTTTAGAGACAAGTTAGCACTCAAGGGGGGGGGGAAGGAGGCAGAGGGAGGGAGGGAGGGAGGGAGGGAGGGAGCGAAAGAGAGGGGGGGGGGAGAGAGAGGGCCAGTCCTAGCAAGTCAGTTTCCTAAGTTTTCTGATCACTGCTGAGTGGGGGACCAACAGATTGATAGGGGGGAGAATTAGGTCATGCCCCTTCCTCCGAGCTGCTTAAGAAAGCCCACCTTCAGTTACCACGATTCAGCGAAGGTCATTCTGGTCTTAGTAATGGAAAAAGACTTTAGCACCACTTTAGCTGGCATTTAGCTGCAGGTGAGGGCACTGACTTATTTCACTTATAGCAGGCGGTTCACAGGCTGGAAGATCTACTGTTACCTTTCTCCTCCCTGCCACATACTGCAATCGTATGGCTTGACCTAAAAACCTTTGCTGCATCTCCTCGAGTACCTAGACTTCAAAGATGTTGGACAAATTGTATTTAAAAAAAATGAAAATAAACAGGACTATTCAGGACGACCCTAATGTGTGTTGCCCCTTTTCTGTCTGAAACGGTATCGGGTTTTCTGCTTGAGAGGGGGGTTGGACTAGAAGATCTCCAGGGTCCCTTCCAAGTCTGTTATTCTATATCTCTTCACAGCACCAGACACCTCGGCTGCCAGCAGCTTGCTCAAGACTTGGTCCCGTTTTCCACCCGGTAAGAAGGCCGTTCAATGGAGATAAGCTATCTAATTGAAACCAGATGGCCAAAGGAAAGCTCAGAAGTGTTTACATGCCAGGGATCTAGTTTGGTAAACAGAGGAGGCAGCTAGAAGAAAGACACTAACATTGTCCCCCGCCCCCCTTACCAAAAGTCTTCCAGCCCGAAAGTTGCTTGGCTAATGACGCTTTCCCACTAAGGCAGGGGTCTGCAACCTTGACAACTTTAAGACTTGTGGACTTCAGCTCCCATGCTGTCGAACCAAAACCGTTTGGCTCTCCGCCAGCATAACAGAGAATTTGGCAAATATAACAGATAAGCAAGACAAACAAAAGACCGAATAATAAGCTGCTGCCTGATCTTGGCCAGACCTTTCTCCAGTTTTGATATGCAGGATGAAAAAGAAGCGTCCAACGGTCGCAGCTTTCCCTGCCCTGATCTCCTTCGTATTTCATTTATTTCCTTATTGAAACATTGAGCCCGCATTTCAATCAAAGGAAACTCAGGTGTAATGGGACTGCAAAGCCCATCGTTCTTAGTTCACAATTTTCTCCTGTAATTGACATCTCTGCAAGAAGCTGCCTCAATTAAATATCACAACGGAAGTGCTTGGTAATTTCATTTTGTCAATCTTTTGTTTCTCTGCATGTTAAAAGTGGAAGGAATGACCTGATCCACGTTAGGAGTATAACTTATCACAAAGATCACAAACCCAGCAAATGGATCTTGGGAAAAATGTTCACGACATTCAAGGGTGCTATCACCCCCCTTTATGCATTTTTGAAGCACGAGTGCAATCTAGGCAGCGTTTGTTCTATGAATGAAGCAAGTGGATTTCGTTAACCCAGATTTAGGGGTTCCTATGTTGGGCAGTTCAGCCACCAGGTACATTCACAGAACACACTTAACCAGGTCAGTGAAGAACTAACAGGAACCTCACCATCCCTGATGAAATATAACAAGATGTTATTGCGGTTTTTTTTGTGGCTCGTGCTGTGCAAACCAAATCTTCGGGTTTTGTTTTGATTTTTGCTTTGGCTTAGAATTCAGTGCATTGTACGAATCCAGAAAACACACGAGCCAGCTGCTGTGAAAGAATACAGAGGCGAGCTTGCTGTCTCCCCCCCCCCTTTTTATTATTATTGTTTCCATTCCAGCAAAATTTTGGAAACAAATGATGTGAAGGGGCTTGGGATCCTGTCTCTCTGTCCATCCCACAACAGGATAATGTTCTGAAAGCAAGAACAGAGCTGCCACCAAATTGGATGGGTGGAAGAAATCAATGACAGGTCAAGCTTGAAAGCTGTCAGGAGAAATGCAGAGAAAAACATTTAAAAAAAAATTCTCCCAGGCATCCCTCCTCCGGGAGCAATAGTTCATAAGGCTGCCTCAACTGCTCCACACTTCTTCCTGGTCACACGACCCAGAGGGAAACTATTATTAATAGTGGGAAAGAATCCCCAAAGCTCGCCCTCCCTGGTTAAAGTCACCTTTCAGGCCTAGAAGAATTGGGTGTGATTCGCCTTCTGCCAAATAAAATAAATTCTCTCTTCACCTTTTTCCATCATATATGAGAACACAATCCTGAGCACCCTTCAAACTCCTTAAGGAAAGCCATTTCTTTAGATATCGAATTTAATCTCTTTTTATTCCCCTCTTGACTTCCCACTTGGCATTCTACCATTTCTCTAAGATGTTCTGGTTTCTTGACACAGTAACAGCAAAAGATAGTTGGAAGTAACAGCAAAAGAGAATTGGAAGGGACCTTGGAGGTCTTCTAGTCCAACCATCTGCTCCAGCTGGCTCAGGAATTCTGGGAGTTGAAGTCCACAAGTCATAAAAGAGCCAAGGTTGCCTACCCCTGGACAAGACAGATCCAGATCCAGATCCTGCAACTGTTCATCGTATGTTTTAGCCTCCACAGTTTTATCCAACACATGTTATTTTAGATAATTTAGGACTCTTAAGATATTATGGCCTATAAGTCTCACCTGGCTAGGGATGAATATGAATTAAATTAACATAAAAAAACCCATATCATACACAGAGTTCCCAGGATTAGGGATTTGAAGTGGCTTTCCCAATCTTCTATTCATATGCTTATATGATTTACACAACTCATGGAACTCAAACCAGCCTAGAACATTCTAGCCCTATATAATATGTTCAACCAGTCCTTGTGATTAATTTATGCTTGTGGTTTTTTTTTTATTAAAAAGTTTTATAAATTTTACAAAGAAAAACATAACAATACAATAACAAAAAACCACATATACAAAAAGAAAAAAAAACTAAACATTACACAACAAAACCCCCCTCCCCCCACCCCCACCCAAACACCCCCCCTTCCCCCCCTGAGCTTCCCAAAGCAGGATATAGGCTTAATTAAAAAAACAGTTAAGAAATTATATTTATAGAAAAAAAGAAAGAAAAAGAAAAAAAAATATAGCATTAACATATATATATATATATATATATATATATATATATATATATATATATATAATATAAAATATTTATGAGAAAGCTATATGATATTTTTTTATATCCAATTTAAATTGTATAAATTTTATCCATTTATCCCAAACAGCAAGAAATTTCTCTTGCGTTTGTTCCTTTAAAAAAGCCGAAATCTTTGCCATTTCCGCCAAATAAGACACTTTAAGAAACCATTCCTGCAATGTAGGCAAAGATTCCTTCTTCCAATATTGTCCTACTAACAGCCTCGCGGCTGTAATCAAATTTAACATCAATATAACCTCCTTTGTATCACAGTCAGTAACTATACCCAATAAAAATAATTGCGGAGTAAATTTTACCCTCCTTCTAAAAATTCTCTGGATATTCCACCAAATCTTAATCCAAAATGCTTTTATCTCTCTACACGACCACCAAATATGATAATAGGTAGCATCCGTACAACCACATCTCCAACATTTAGGTTGTAAGTCAGGGTACATAAGAGACATTTTTTGTGGATCAAGGTGCCATCTATAAAACATCTTGTGTTGTGCAAATGCAGAATTCAAGAAATTCAATAAATTACAGCTCGCTATGAATAATTTTTTCTAATTATGAGTAAGTTGCTTCTTGCCACTCCTGGTTCGTAGGTTGGTTGGTTGGCTGACTTACTTTCTACAAAAGATTTATTTCAAGTTTGGGATTGGCATGAGTTTCACGCAGGAACAAGGAAGAGTTTAGAAGAAATGTATAGAACAGAATACTAAATACAGTAACTCAGTGGTTTTTATTTTCTTCCTTCTGGACACCAGCTGACTGTGTCAGAGAATGAGTAAGGCTGTCATTCCTGAGTTGATTTCTTTTGCAATCTGAACTCATTGGGCCAGTTGTAAAAGGATTTGAAGGGGACATTCCCTCAATCCCTTTTTTATTGGCAGTCAACGTAGGTCACACTTAACAGGAAATACAGAATCATATTTCTTCCAGGGCTGAAAGGCACTTTTTGGAGACCCACCTGTTCTCACAGCCAGTTTGGTCTAGTCTAGTGGTTAAGGCATTTGGCCAGAAACCAGGAGACGGTGAGTTCTAGTCCCACCCTAGGCATGAAAGCCAACTGGGTGACTTTGGGCCAATCACCAGGAGACAGTGAGTTCTAGTACTGCCTTAGGCACAAAAGCTGGCTGGATGATTTTGGGCCAGTTGCTCTCTCTCAGCCCAACCCACCTCACAGAGGAAAAGAGGAGAAAGAAGGAATATTATCTATATTCAGCATCTTGAGTTACTTATAAAGTGATAGAGTTGGAATAAAAATCGATCAACCAAACAAACAAATAAACATACTCCGAACACTCTCCTGTTTCTATAATCTCAGTTCTCTCCAGTGCTTTTTCCAGGCCCTTTCTCTTCTTATTGGGCAGTGGCAGTCTTAAATACACATGCACAAAATGCACACTATTTTGAAAAAGACATATATAGGGATGAATCCAGCAACTGTGCCAATAAATGGACCACTTGGCTGGTTAAGGGTCCCAAACTTGTTTTTCTTCTCTTCTTCTTCTCAGATGTATTAGACTCTATTTCCTACCCATTCCAGCTTCTACCATTGAATCCAGAAGGCCTCAGACAGAAGAGGCTGCATTCATCTCCCTCCAGCATGATAGGTAGCCAAAGCTGTGATTATCTCACATGCTTAACCAGATCAAGTGAAGGTGCTAAATAAGGCCCTCGATTAGGTTCTAGGTCAGGGGTTTCCAACCTTTAAGACCCAGAATTTCCAAGCCAGCTCTGAACCCGGAGGTCCAGATTACATTTCATGTCCCAAATCTGCCTTTCCTCAGTCTGATGCCTTCTAGATGAATTTGGGGGTTTGGGAGTTCAATCCCTTAAAAACTGGTGAAGGCCAGCTGCTGGTTCTGAGAGTGGCAGATACAACTCATTTGGCATAAAATTGTGCTAGGCTTAGAGGTGTCCAGCCTTGACAGCTTTAAGGCCAGTGGACTTCGGCTTCCAGAATTCCCCAGCCAGCACGGACAAGATCCGACAGCCTGGTTCTATCTAGGTTTTGCACGCTGCATCCACCCCACCTACTCCATTCATTTAAGACCGGATGAATTGGGCACATCTAGACAATGGCGTGCTTTCCTCAACTTTACTTCCTTTAGCACACCCCTGGTTTGTCAGCGGCACATGTTGGTGGCCAGAGGAGAAGAAAGGACGTCAGCTATGCTATTGCACCTGCTATCAGTCGGAGCTCTGAAACAGGGAAAGGAAGCACCCCCGTTTTTGGAGGAAAGGACACCCGCAAGCGAAACCTTAATCCAACCCCCGATGCCCCACGTTCTGTTTGCCTGCAATTCGCGCTCTCCCCTCGCCCAGACAACCCTCCACGGCCGGGAACGAGGCTCGGGGCGTTTCAGGCCCGAGGTGGCAGGCTAGAGACGCCCCGTCCCCGATCCCGTCCGCCCCCCTTTGTCTTTCTGCCCGGACCCGGGTTGCAAAATAACCGGCGCGCATCAGCCTTTACCTGCCCTTCCGCCAAGGAGGCCTCCGCTCGAGCTGGCCGGGTGGCTGCGGATGCTCGGATGCTGCAGCTCAGCCGGGCGCCCGGCTTAAAACCCGGCCGCCGGAGGACGGGCGCTCTGCGAAGGGGCGGGCATGCCGCAGTCCGCGCGGCCGGGGAGAGTGGGCGGGGGGCTTCTCCGGAAGCAGCGGGGCTCAGCCAGGCGGGCCACGCCGGGAACTCGGGCGGCGCCCCCGCAGGGAAGCTCTGCCAGGACGCCCGGCCGAGATCCCGAGGAAGCAGCTGGACGAGGGAAGTGCGAGGCGAGAGCGGGTCGAGGTCCTCGGGGGCTTCTTTCCGCCGCTTCCCCGCATTTCAAAGGATGGGACGAGAAGAAAGGGGGGGGAGCCCCCCGAGAGGGGTCCAGCCTAGGATGATGGAGACCTTTCCTGACAGGGAGGCATATGAATCAGCGGAACGCCCTGCCCCCAGCAGGTGTAGGTGCTCCACCCCTGGAGATGTTTAAGTTGAGACGGGGCAGTCGTTTGTCTGAAACGGGGTGAGTCCTTACACCGACAATCTCTACTTAAAAACTTCCACTCTCTGTGGAGATTCTCAACCATCCGGGTCGTGGCTGTCCCAAAGGTGGTGTTTCCCCCCCCCCCCCCAAAAGGCAACTGGACGTTCTTGGTATTTTCTTCGGAAATGTTTTGCTTCTTGCCCAAGAAGCTTCTTCAGTTCAGTTCAGTAGAAAGACTCTTTCCTTGGGTTGGACAAGTTGACCTCCAAGATCTCTCCCAACTGTACATAAATAAATGAATATCCATGCTGTTTCCTCCATCTACCATCTAGAGGAGCGCAGGGTGACGGTCCTGGGCTTTGCAGAATGTGCCACAAAGGGGCACTTGTCAAAGAAATCCTGGACAGGTTTTTACAGAATTCTATTGTAGGATCTTTCTCTCTCTCTCTCTCTCTCTCTCTCTGTGTGTGTGTGTGTGCGCTTCATTTTTAAAACAAACTGTGGTATAAGTGACGTGCTCATCATTCCTCCTGGTATAACCTGAATGGACACGCATGTGCAATGCACTTTTTAGAGAGCAAAAAATAAAAAGCAAGCACAGGAGACCCTGTTCCATTCTGGAAAATGGCTGTCCAGTCTCTTCTTGAAACCCTCCAGTGATGGAGCACCCGCAATTTCTGGAGGCATGTTGTTCCACTGATTGATTGTTCTTCTGTCAGGAAATGTCTTTGTAATTTTAGGTTGGATCTTCCTTTGATAGGTTTCCCTCTGTTCCTTCTTATGTCTCCAGGTGCTTTGGAGAATAAGCTGACCCTCTCTTTTCTATGATAGCCCCTCAAATATTGGAAGCATGCTATCATGTCACCTACTATTTTTTCGACTAGATATATCTAGTTCCCTCAATTGTTCTTTATATGCTTTAGCTCCCAGATCCCTTATCATCTTTGTTGTTCTTCTCTACACTTTTTCTAGGGTATCAGGATCTTTTTTTGTACTGTGGTGACCAGAATTGGATGTAGTCTTCCAAGTGTGGCCTCACCAGTGCAATATAAAGCAGTACTATCACTTTGTGTGATCTTGAAGCTACCTTTCTGTTGATGCAACTAGGAGTGCATTATCTTTTTTGGCAGCTGCTGTATATTATTATAGCTACTATAGATTGTGGCATAGGATAGTTGAAATTCTACAGAGCATTTCCTTCCTTCCTTCCTTCCTTCCTTCCTTCCTTCCTTCCTTCCTTCCTTCCTTCCTTCCTTCCTTCCTTCCTTCCTTCCAGACTCAGCAACTTACAACACAATAAATACAGAATAAATTTTGAATTTATTCACTGATCATGCTTGGTCTTGGACCATAAATATAACTTCGATTTGAGTTTACAGATCTCTGCATGGCTGGCAGTACGTTAGCAAGGCTTTCTGACTTCCAACAGTTCAGTAACAAAATGCTTATTTTTGTTAAAATGAAGAGAAGATGAAGGAGCCAGGAATGGATTGTGACCGCCCTTCAACTCTGGTGCTGACCAAACTCATTCCAAGACTCTCAACGCGCTCAAATGTTAAGCAGTGGAATTTATTGAAGTTCTGTTTAAGGGTTTGGTCATTCCCCTCGGAGATGATTATCCTGAAATTAGGACATGACATTGGGGTGGAACTCTTAACAGTAAGTGAGTAGTGGGGGGGTACCATGGCTCAGCGGTTAAAGGTGCTGAACGGTCAGCTGGAAAGCTGACAGCCCAGTTTGAGATCCGAGCACTGCGCAAAAGGGCAAGTTCCTGTTTCCGCTCCACCTCCTGCCCAACTAGCAGTTTGAAAGCATGCAAACATGAGTAGGTAAATAGATACCACTTTGGTGAAGAGGTAACAGAGTTCCGTGTGTGTCAGGGTATAGCCATGCCTGTCAGATGACTATATAAGCATCTTTGGACAATGCTTGCTCCTTTGACTGAAAAATGGAGATGAGCATCACCCCGTAGAGTCGGACATGACTGGACGGGGAAACCTTTACCTTTAAGTGAGTTGTATTAACAGCAGTTGTGAGGGGAATTCAGGATAACCATTTTAAATCCCCCCCTCCTACTTTACTCTCCCTATCCTCATTCAGTGCCATCTGCTATGACATTCTCATGTTTTAGAATATAGGGCTTATAGAATGGCACTTTGCTTTCCAACACAACCAGCTTTTGACTGATGCATTGTTTTAATTACCTGAACCTAAAAATTCAGGGAGGAACTAGGAACCCATTGGTGCCCATTCTGCCAATCTCATCTAACCCTACATTCAGAAATGAAAAAACTCTTATCTGCGGTATTCCAGAACTTAGCTCCCCATTGTTAATAGTTCACTTCTTATAGCTGCCAAGAAACATGCATGGACATTGTCACGGAGCCATCATCAGTCGAATTCAAGAGAATTTTTAATGATTAAAAAAGGCACCACAGATGACCAGCCCTAAGCGGCCTCTTTCCAAAGACAGTGTTCAGCTGTCCTTGGTTTGGTGGAATTCTCCCAAATACAGTTTCCATGGCTCCCTAGAGAATGGCTATGAATTTAATCTCGGACAGTTACGCTTTGTCATTATATGAAAGTGAGAGCCTGACTCCTCTCTCTCCCTCTGTCTCTATTACTAATTTATTCAGAAAATCCAAGTCAGAATTTTTTCAGCACAATGGAAGATCATAACTGTAAATGAACTTTTGATATAAAACATTGTGGAGCTCTATGGCTGGATTCACAGAGCGCAGAAAACAGCTATGTATCTTATAATGTGCTACGCCCCAGTAATTTAACCCATGTGGTGACTAAATGGGATACTGTGGTTCAGATGATAGGCCAAGACATGGCTGAGATTCCAGAATAGTCTAAATCTGGCTGCATTTTAGCCTAGTTAAAAAAGAGGTCCAGGTAGTCCTACACCTTTGCTTGACAAACAAAGTCAATGGGGGGGGAGGGAGCCAAATTCACTTAATGACCACATGATTCAGTTAACAACTACAGTGATTTGCTTAATCACGGCAAAAAAGTTGTAAAATTGGGCACAAATCATTTAACAACTGCCTTGCTTAAGGACAGAAATTCTGGTCTCAGTTGTGGTTTTAAATCAAGGACTACCTGGCCTTTGGACCAAACGGTGCCCATAGCTGAGCCCAACACAAAGGCCTCGTGATGATGCAGTGATTTGAGACTTCTGTATGTGCCTCACGGAGGACTCAGAAGCAAAGAGGGGTATAAATGTAATAACAATAGAAGAGATGCATAAGCAAAGGCATCCTATGGGGGGGGGGGCGTGGGGAATGGGTCCAACCCTGCCCAGACCAAAAAGATCTCTTCCGGCCACAACTATCCCCTCAATCTAAACCATCACAGGTAGCCTCTAAACTATCACAGGTAGTCTTCCATTTATGATCAAATGTTTTGTTGCTAAGTGAGATATTTGTTAAGTGAGATTTACTTCATTTTGTGACCTTGCTTGTCACAGTTGTTAAGCAAATCACTGCAGTTGTTAAGTCAGTAACACAGTCGTTAAGTGAATCTGGCTTCCCCAATAACTTTGCTTGTCAGGTCACAAAAGGGGATCACATGATGCTGGGACACAGCAACCGTCATAAATAGGAGTCGGTTGGCAAGCGTCTGAATTTTAATCATGTGACCCTGGGGGATGCTGCAAGGGTTGTAAGTGGGAAAAACAGTCTTAAGTCCCTTTTTTCAGTGTCAATGTAACTTCGAACATTCACTAAATGAACTATTGTAAGTCAAGGACTACCTGTACGCATATCCCATCTTTGACCAGGCACCAACTAAGCAGAGAAGGTGTAGAGATTGCCTCCCGGCACTAGGTGGCGCTTAACTCTTGACTGTATTTCTAAACAATTTCGGCAAGTTGTTTTTTACACTGATCTCATCAGAAGAGGACATGGAGTTGCATTAAACTCATCATTATCTATCTCCTGTGAGGTAGATTGGGATGAGAGAGAGTTACCCAGTCTGCTTTCCAGCCTAAGGCAGGACTAGAACTCACAGTCTCCTGGTTTCTAGGCCAGCACCTTAAGCATCACACCTTGTATTAAGAGCTAGAACTACACATTTTTCTGAGCGCAAGGCAGTGTACGTAGGCAACATGCATACCTACGAACACACACTGCACTGAATTATAAACTCAGAATGGCCAAGCCAGCACCATGAGCCATAAACAAAGATTAAAATTAACCACGTTTAGCAGGTGGCAAATATAGCTTCTAGCTTTTAAATGACCAGCTGGCCATGCAGCACAGAAACAGAGGGTGAGCTGGTGTTTAGCTTTCTAGGCAAGTAATAAATGCAAGAGGCTTGGGGGAAACCTGGCTGATACTGAACCTTGCCATTAACCGTCGTTCTTTTCTTTTCCTAAATCATGCAGAAGAGTCGTTCCCAGTTTTCCTTAACTGTTTACAGTAGTCCTCAAGTTACAAGCCTTTGTTTAGCGATCATTCGAAATTCTGAAAAAAGTGCCTCCGACTGTCGTAGCTTCTCCACAGTCATGTGATCAAAATTCAGGGGCTTGGCAACTGGCATGTGCTTATGCCGGCTGCAGCGTCCCAGGATCGCCATTTGCAGCCTTCTCAGCCAGTTTCCAGCAAGCAAAGTCGTTTAATGACCAGTCGATTCACTTAACAACTGCAGGGATTCGCTTAACAATCTTGGCAAAGGTCGGGAATCAGGTGCGATTCACTTGACAATTACCTTGTTTAGCAACATTAATTCTGGTTCCAGCTGTGGTCATTAAGTTAAAGGCTACTTGTATTTACTTATTTTCATATTCAAGTAGTTTATGCATTTATTTACACATAGTAAATTCAAGGGAGCATACCTAGTTCTGCTTCCCTCCCTCCCTATTTTTCCCTGTAACAACAATCCTGTGATGCAGGCTGGTCGGAGGTACAATGACTGGCCCAAAATTACCAGTGAGTTTCTTGGATCGTAAGTGGATTATTATATGTCTTTCCCTTCCTAGTCTCGCACCTTACTGGATCAACAGAATTAGCAACGGTGCCTCAGTTGGTGTA